GGCTGGGGATTCGAACCCGCCACCTTAGGTGTATGTGGCTGGCGCCTTAGCCGCTTGAGCCACAGGCGCGGAGCCATATTTAACTTTCTTAACCTTTATTTTTTAAAACTAACTAAATGGCATCTTCACCTCTATCAGCAGATAAAGACATTCCTTCATTCCCATAAAACTTTCTCCATGTTAAGTGAGGGTAAAATTACTTTGGAAGCACTAAAACATGGACTCGCTTATGGAAGCAAGAAAGAAAACAGAACTTAAGCACAGAAAATCTAGGATAAGCTTATGTTAAAAAAAAAAAGATCTGTTACTTTCTGATACAGTGTTACTATGAAAATGTTCTCACATATGAAATTAGCTCTCTCCAAGGACTCAGCTGTTAACAAAGAAATATAAGGAAATGGTTTTGCCTTCCTAGAAGAGTGTCAATGGTAAGCCTACTCCTAGGAGCTCGAGAAGAGGCTTGTTTTTTCAGATAGATGTATTTACACCCAAGACTCATCTGTCATCTCTCGAACTGTCCTAAAATTAGCTCTTCCTTACTGGTGGGAGTCATGGCTAAAATTTAAAATTATTTGTGGGACTTTTTAAAGATACTAAATTAGAATCCTTAAATTAATATTCTGCAAAAGTCCCACAGATTACTTTGTCATGCCCATATCTAAGAAGTACTAAGATTTACAATAGTGCAAATCTATGTATAACAACTTAGAAAAATATCTATATAAAAATCCAGGGTAATAACTTATACTCTGGCAGTTTGCCTACTGACCCATTGTGGAGTTTGGTAAATATGGTAGTCCATTTTTCATCTCTAAACAAACTTATGTGTTCCTCCTTCAGTTTTTTAATTTTTACATGAAATGAATTCATAAATGAAAAAGGTATGCTGGCCAGGCACAGTGGCTCATGCATGTAATCCTAACACTCTGGAGGCCGAAGCAAGCAGATTGCTTGAGCTCAGGAGTTTCAGACCAGCCTGAGCAAGAGTGAGACCCCCACCTCTACTAAAAATAGAAAAACTAGCAGGACATATGCATAGTGGTACACACCTGTAGTCCCCAGCTACTGGGAAGATTGAGGCAAGAGGACTGGTCAAGCCCAAGAGTTTGAGATTGCTGTGAGCTATGATAATGCCGTGGTATTCTACCCAGGGCAACAGGGTGAGACTCTGTCTCAAAAAAAGAAGCAAAGAAAAGGGCATGCAGAAGCTTCAAAAAGCCCCGTCAAAAACAGATAAGGAAAAGGAAAATAAGGTTTTGGGAGACACTGTGAAGCCATAAAAGCCTGCTTAGTTACAGCGAGTGTTGGAAGGTGAGGAGGAAAGATGAGCTAAAGACGAACTGTGGTTGTCTAACTGCCAGAACTGATCACTACAGGTATGCCTCACATCTGAATGTTTCTTTGCTAGATAATGCAGAAAATCTAAGTGGAAACAAATGTGATATGGCTACTTTTAAAATAAAAATGAATGAGTAAGAGATTGTCTAGTTCCAAAAAAGGATTCTGCTTTAGAACTAGAGTCATTCAGACTCCTTTGCCTCTACCAAATAAGAGCTGCAAAAAATAAAGATAAAAATAAAATTTTAAATAAACAACTTGGCAAAAAGAAATTGTCTTACCCCATTTAGTGTTGCTATAATGGAGTAGCTGAGGCTGGGTAATTTATCAAGTTTGATTTATTTGGCTCATGATTCGGGTGGCTGGAAGGTTCAAGACTGGGCAGCCACAGCTGGTGAGGGTCTTGGTGGAAAATGGAAGGGGAGAGGGTGTATACAAAGAGATCACATGGTGAGAGGAAGCCAGAAAGAGGGAGAAACCAAGGAAGCCAAACTTGTTTTTGTAGCAAAAACCTACTCTTAGCAAGTAAATTGGTCCTGCCAGAGACATTAGTCTATTCATGAGGGATCTGCCCCCATGACCCAAACACCTCCCATAGGCTCCACCTCCCAACACCAAATTTCAACATAAGTTTTGACAGGGACAAACCACATCTAAATCATAACAGAAGCTGCAGATTGAAAAAGTAACCTTATCAAGAGAATAAGAAAATAAGCCACAGACTGGGAGAAAATATTCACGAAAGATACATTTGAGGGGCAGTGCCTGTGGTTCAAGGAGTAAGGGCGCTGGCCCCATATACTGGGGGTGGTGGGTTCAAGCCCAGCCCGGCCAAAAACTGCAAAAAAAAAAAAAAAAAAAAAAGATATATTTGATAAAGGACTGTTTGTTCAAAATGGAAAACTCTTAAAACTCAATAGAAACAATCAACTTGATTAAAAATGGGCTAAAGATCTGGACACCTCACCAAAGAGGGTACAGATGGCAAATAATCATATGAAAAGATGTTCCACATCTTAAGTCATCAATTAAAAGTGCACGTTAAAGCAACAATGGAATACCACTAAATAGCTGTTGGAATGGCCAAAATCTGGAACCCTGACTATACTGCTGTCAAGGATGTGGAGCAAACAGAACTTTCTGTCACTGACGGTGGGACTGCAAAATGAGACAGCCACTTGGAAGACAGTTTGGCAGTTACTTACAAAACTAAATATTCTCTTTACTATAGAGATCCTGTAGTAATACAGTGGATACAGTGATCACATTCCTTAGTATTTACCCAAAGGATTTGAAAACTTAATATCCACGCAAAAACCTGTATAACAGATGTTTTTAGCAGCTTTAGGTACAATTGCCAAAACTCGGAAGCAACCAAGATGTCCTTTAGCAGGTGCATGGACACACTGTGGTACACTTAATCAAGCCTGGAAGAAATTTAAATGCAGGTTATTAAATTAAAGAAGCCAATCTGAAAAGCCTATATACTATATGATTCCAACTATATGACATCTGGAAAAAGGTCAAACTATGGAGACCGTAACAAAGATACCTGGCTGCCAAGAGCTAGAGGGGAAGGAGGGAGGGATGGATAAGCAGAGCACAGAGGATTTTAGGGCAGTGATACCGTGTATGATTCTGTAAGATTCCACTTGTCTAAAGCTATAAAGTGTGCGGCACTGAGGGGGAACCCTCATGTGAACTGTGCACTGTGAGGATGACGACGTATCAGTGTAGGTTCATCAATTGTAAAAAATGCACCGCTCTGGTGGAGGGTGCTGATAGTAGGGGACGCTACGACCACGTAGGGGTGGGGAGCATGTGGGACAGCTCTGTTCTTTCCCCTCAGTTTTGCTGTGAACACCTAAAACTGCTCAAAAACATTAAATTTTCAAAACAAAAGTAACCTAACCGATAATGAACAGTCAAAGGCAGTAATATGAATAGTAATTAGGCTGTTTATAAGCCATTTATGATTTGAGGTGGGCTTTGCGATGAGAACTTATCTGAGTTTCTGCTTTAAAAAATAGGAGTTTGATACATCAAAGAGATGTATGTACATCTAAGAGACATGAGATTGATACGATTTTGCTTCTTAGGGATAAAAAACAACACGTGTTCTGTTATCTATAAATGAGCACTTTATTATCAAATAGTTCAGCATCAGAACAAGATTTCTAATTCCAAAAAGGTTTTCTTTACATAACATTATACATATTGTGAGAGACAGTTTGGAAGAATCTGACACTACATCCCGTTCCATTGGGTAACTTTTTTTGATCTAAGAAGTATAAATTTATCTCATTTTTGTTAATGTTGTCCATGAAATGTAGCATTAGTTCCTTTTCAGCCGTACTTCATAATTATACTAGCGCCAGGTTAAGAGAACCTGTTTTATAGTGACATGAAAGTCAACCACAAGAAAAACACATAATCATTTTTATTTATGGAGGCAAATCCCTCTTAACACAAAGGACCTTATATAATGATGTAAGGCAGATCAACCCGGAAATCTCATTCAATGACATTACTTCCTATTGAACAATCCCATGTGAGAAATGAATGCCTCAGAGTAAATAAATTAAAATTAGCCCTTGGGCCTTCGTCAATTTAATTGCCGAGGCCTTTCGTGAATTCTAATTAATGCTCTAAATTAGCCACTATTTCTCAGAACAGTGTACCAGAAGAATACGAACGTCATTAATTACACAAGCTGTTTTAAATGTATACTGTGCAAGTTATTCCTTCATCTGGTATTCCATGAATAAAGCTCTCAGGATATATTATAATAAATCAGTTGGGCGCTTACCATGTGCAAGGCACTGCGCTAGATGCTGCAATGTGGTAGGGACAGCATTCCTTGTCGAGCTGTCTATGCAATATCGGCCAGCTGAATAATGGAACATGTGGGCCAGAATAGCACATACTGAGACCAATGTACCCAAGGCATCCAACGTGAGTGACTCAAAAGAGGAAATCGTAAATATAATAAGATACTTTAGTTTTTTCCTAGACCTTAGTCACTTTTGATCAGCACATTTGATACTTTCTACGTCACTTCGGATTTAGGAAGATGAAGACACTGGCCATCACCCTTTTTCTGACAGATACAAGTACTCAGCCAAATTATAGCTCATCGCACATACTATTAATTACAGAGAAGTCATTCATCTCTAGCTTTTGTAGGGGAAATAGAAAGGCTCAAAAACTCCTTTCCCACAGGTAGGATCAATTTTTAAAGGCTCCAACTCTGCTTGCTTTGCTGATGAAGTTCTTCAAGAGATCATGGTCCATTTCTGCAAAGCCTGACGTCTGCGTCACGACGGTCAGATGATTTATGCAAAACCTGAAGCAGAATTCTTCTAAATCCTAGGAACAGCAACAAAAGTCATTTAACAAATTCATACTTCTGGAGGCAATGCAACATGTTAATAACATGAAAATTCCTCAAACAACTTAACAGGAATTGATAGCCAAAAGAAAATGTTGGGACAGCGATAAAGAATACTTATAAAGATTATAGAACTAATATGAATCCACACTGGTAAAACTTGAAATTATACAGTAAAATGTTCAAATTCCTCCACACCAACCAATGTAAGGAATCTCACCTTTTTTTTTCCCAGAGACAGGCCCCCAAGGGTGTGAATTCTTTCGCGACTTTTCACCTAGTGGCAGTACTTGTATTGTTCATTCCACCTTTGTATTTGTTAAAAAGCCCTACCCTCCTCTTTTATAGTTATACTGGATGCTTTAAATATTTCTACCTAAGAAAGGGTAAGCTATAAAAAATAATAATGCTAAGAACTGCTTCTCTTAAGTTATTAACAGGTCATTCTTTTTTTCCTTTGCAAGAAGACAAAGGATGGGCTGGATGGACTTCTTCACAGTACACAAACCAGTTATCTTCTGCCCCGGGCTAGAGTGCTTGGGCACAGCTCACAGCAACCTCAAACTCCTGGGCACAAGTGAGCCTCTTGCCTCAGCCTCTTGAGTAGCTGGGACCTACAGTAGCTGCCACCATGCCCAGCTAATTTTTAGTACAGAAAGGGTCTCACTCTTGCTCAGGCTGGTCTCAAACTCCTGAGCTCAAGCAATCCACCTGCCATGCCCTCCCACAGTGCTAGGATTACAGGCCTGAGCCACGGCACCCAGCCCACCTTCAGAAATCTTAATGGAAAAAATGCTCTGAAGAAATCATAACTGTGAAGGCTCTGGCAAAAGAAACTCGGGCAGACTGGTGTTTTCTGGTTTACTGTGGTGTACTCTGGGCCAAAGAATAACCCAGTAGTAATTCCCTTCACTAGAACTATAAACTTGAGAATCAGAATGAAGGTGACCAGATGCTTTTTTTGCCCCAGGGAAAGGTGATGCAAACCTGCTCAGACCTTGGACAGGCCTAGACCCCAGGGCCTACCAGCCACCCAGGACCAGTCACTGCCAGGGAGAGGTCAATTTTTAAAGTTTCATCTCTGTCACTAAAAGTAATTTATAAAAACATAAAGCCCCAGAGAATTTCCAAGTAATTACATATGCACATTGTACATTATTTTCTTCTTTAGACATATAAATTAAAACAAATGGCTAAAAATGAAAAAATATACTGAAAAATTAGCAATACTGATAGCTATGGCAGTGCATATGCAAACCTCTAGTACTTTTCCTTTTAAGAAAAGAAACCTGGAAAACGTGTTTATCTCACCCCTGAACACAGCTGGGCAGGCTGCTAAGGTCACAGCAGCCATCTGACACACCTCAGTCCCAGGTAAGTCTCAGTGATGAAGACAAGATTTCACACGCCTATCCGTAACGTGGCATGTCCATACACGTACATGAACCTGTGCTTCGTTAATATATGCTGAACATCGCAGGATCCATGTACGATTAAGTGCTCTTGCTTAGACTTTTAGAAATGACATTTTTGCCCACAGCACATGAAAGCGAAACAAGACAGTGATACATTTCTTTGGCTGAATTCTGCAAACAGGAATGAAAAATTTCCTACCTCCACCACACATGCTAACGTGCGTCTGAAGTCCTACAGATGTGAACGGCATCAGGGAGTCTGCTAATGAACAGGAGAACAAAAGGACCCCTGGGTCCCCCTGGGGTCTGCCTTCCTTTCCTATTTCACTGAGCAGAACCTGCACATGCGCTTCCCACCGCATCTCCTGGCCTACTGCACAGGGGCCTGTAGACTCCCTCTTCTCTGGACAAGCAGTCTGTGACTCTATGTAAGGCAGGTGCCCTCTCTGTCGCTAGATCCTGTTGCTCCTCCTGCTCAGGACCCCACTCTAGGAACTGTGCCTGCATCACTGCCTTCCTCTCCTTCACCAGATCATTTGTATCACTAGACAAACATACTTCAATTTCTTTCACCTTAAAAAAGCAAAATATGTGCTTTACCTCAATGCCCCTTCAATCTCTCCTTCTGCCTTTACAGTAAAGTATGAGAAGATGTTGTCTCTGTTCCTCATCTTCAATTACCCTACTGAAACTGCCGGCCAGGGTCACCCATGGCGCTCTCATGGCCAGACCCAGAGGCAGTCCCCAGGGCTCCCCTGGCCCGCTCAGCAGTATGTGCTGGGGTCCAGGACTTCTTCCTTCCTGAAATGCTTTCTTTCCTAGCTCCCAGGACAGTTTTCTGGCCTTCTCTTCCTTCACTGTTTTTAGTCTCCTTTGCTATTTCCTTATCACCTCAGTCTCTGACCACGGAGTGCCCAGAACTTAATCCTCAAATCCGTGTGCTGCATGTCTTAGTCTCCAGGCTTTAACTATGGTTAAGTTTCCTCCTAAACTCTGAACTTGCTTTTGAAATTTGCTTGTTACACATTTTCATTTGGACATTTAATACACACCACATACTTAACATAATCAAAAACAAATGTTTTATATTTCCCCCCACTCTCTTCCCACTCTTCTCTATCTCAATAAATGCCAACTTTTTTTTTTCCTGAGACAGTCTCACTTTGTTGCCCTGGTAGAGTGCCTCCATGGCGTCACAGCTCTCAGCAACCTCAAATTCTTGGGCTCAAGAGATTATCTTGCTTTTGCCTTTCCAGTAGCTGGAACTACAGGCACCAACAACCATGCCTGGCTATTTTTAAAGACTGGGTCTTGCTCTTGCTCAGGCTGCTGTCAAACTCTTGAGCTCAAGCAATCCACCCGCCTCGGCCTCCCAGAGTGCTAGGATTACAGGGTGAGCCCCGTGCCCAGCATTTAAATACCAATTTCATCCTTTCAGTTGCAGATACCCAAAACCTTAGAGTCATTTTTTTCTTCCCCTTCTCCCCACGTCTGATCCATTGGCAAATCCTATTGGCTCAACTTTCAAAATACAGTGGAATCTCTGTAAGTTGAGCACTCAAGGGACTGTAAAAAACTGGTCAACATACAGAGGTAGTCAACGTAAGGAATTAGGCCTCCTGTACTGATACAGACATGTGGTGCAGGTCAGGTCTATGAAAATTAGGTCAACTTAAGGAGGTTGTCAATGTAGGGAGATTGTCAACTATGAAGGTTCTACTATATATTCAAAATCCAACCACAACTAATAGCTTGGACCAACCCCCCATCATCACTTACTGGACTGCACTACCTCCTAACCAAAGGTCATCTGTGCCCCACACCTTATTCTCAACACAGCAGCCAGTGATGACCTTCACTGCCAGTCAGTCCTGTGTGCGTCCCTCCCCTGGCCTCATCCACCTTAGAGCTGGGATTTCTGAAGACTGCCCTGTCTGCCTCCCCACACCGTCTCCCTGCCTTCATCTGCTCCTCCTCCTCTCATTCTGCTCCACCCAACTCCTGTCCTGCTGTCCCTCCAACACGCCGCCCACACCTCCTTGAGTCTTTGCTCAAGTCAGCTCCCAGTGACACTTTCCTTCCCCAACACCCTATCTCAAATTCCAACTTTAATCTCAGCTTGGCACTCCCTCTCTCTCCTCCCTAGCTTATTGTTTTTCCATATTACTCATCATTATATAGTATATTCATTTATTTGCTACCCAACTCCCCTCACCAGAAAGTTCCACAAGGGCAGAGACTGCTCTGTTTTCTTCACTTGCAATAGCCCCAGTGTCCAGAACAGTGCAGGTACAAAAGAGGCACTCGGTGAATATTCTCTAAATCAGTAACAAAACAATTCTGATTTAAAAGTACAGGGGACAGTAGAGATTTGTGGTTAAACAGGTGGCTGTGAAATTTGCCCCGTCTTGGACTGCATTCCAGTTGTGCATTTACTAGCGTACTGAGATTACTCCATCTCTCTGAGCTTCGGTTTCCTCATTTGTAAACTGGGATTAATGAGAATAATAAAGCCTGTGTATCCTAAGATTGTTTTCAGAAGTAAGTGGGACATGACCCGTACTTAGAATAATCTCTATTTCATATTAATTATGCCCTCAAGGGCCAGTCTTGCATAAGGTTCTTTCTTTGCTGAAAGAATTCACTTCTTATTTGAAGATTTGAGTCAGCCAAATCCAACATGCTGTTTTTTATTTATAAAAGCTTTTATTTTATATTAAGTATAAATATAGTCTATTTTACTTGTACACTATTTTATTAATTAAGGGTATAACAAATAGCTAGACAGGCCGTAGTGAAAACAGTGTGTCTTCATAGGCAAGTTGAACAGTCATTAAACAAATACTAAGTATCCACTACGTGTGAGACACGATCCACAGCATGACATGGTTGTGAGCAGAACAAAACCTCTGCTATCCCTCAAGGAGCTTACTCTCCAGAAAACAGAGCTGGACAGTAGCCACACAAATTCATGTAAATAGAGAATAGGAAAAAGTCTTGGCACTCAAGCTCCATTCAGATGCCAACACCAGGTGCCATCATCTGGACCTCTGAGCTCCCCCTCTGGAGTCCAGAATCATCACCGTGATGCTCAAGAACAAACTCCAGGACAGAGCAGGGATTTTGTTTGACCCTGAAGCATTTTGCAAATGCCCAATATAGTATTACCTTGACATAATATATACATCCGCTGTGCTTTGCAACATCAAGGTGCTAATGTTCTAGTTGATGAGTTACTTCCTCCCACAAAATGCATGTATTTTCCAAATTTTTAAAAAATAAGCATATTATTATTTGCATAAGCAGAAAAAGAGTTATAACCTTTTCCCACTAAAATTACACTGTTTTTTTGACGAAAGGAGAGGATATCCTTACACCAAGAGGAAATCAACTCCAAAAAGTGATGGTCTGTTTCCTAAAGATTTACTTCTAAGAGGGGTTTTCTTTCCTTTCTTTCTTATCATAACAATGCATGGTCACTGTAAAAAGTTTAGAAGAAAACAAGCACAGAGAAGGAAATAAAAAAGCATCCACAACCCCAGCATCCAATGATAACCACTGGCTACAGCCTTCCGCCTGCTTTTCTTTGTGGATCACGAATTTCAGTCTTATTCAGCTGTGTATTCTTTTTTAAAAAAATTAGAACAGGATCATAGTTCCTCACTCAGTGGCATACCTCAAACAGCTACATAACTTTACGGTACTAACATTTCGTAAACGACCCTCTACTATTCATGCTGAACTTTTCCTAATTTTTCAAAGTTACAAATTGCTGCAGTAAATATCTCTGAAGCTAAATCTTCTCCAGAACCATGAGTAGCTGAGATAAATTCATCAAAATGAATTCCTTAAAGAATTACAACTTTAAAGCTTTTGCTATAGATGATACCAAATTGTAGCCGGAATGTCCCTGACTGCACCCTCATCAGCAGTTTAGGAGAACACCATTATTCTGAACCTGCACTATTTTTAAAAGTATATTTGTCAGTTTGACAGGTGGGAAAATCATACCTTGCTTTCATTTCTATTTCTCGGTTATGTTTTTCATCTCTTCACAGAGCCTCGTGTTCCTTGGTCCATTTCTTTCAAACACACTGCTCGTATTTTCTTTTTGTTTTTTACTATGCTAAACGTGCTTCGTTATACATAGCAAATATTTCCCAGCGTATCATTACTTTCTCATTTTCTTTGTAGTGTTTTGGGGGGTATAAAAGTGTTTTAGCTTTTGAAAACAGATCTATTGATCCTTTCCTTCATGGGTTCTGCTTTTGATGTCCACCGCAACATGACATAAATATTTACTTAGACTTCATTTAGTGCTTTTGTTACTTTTTTAACACTAAATCTTTAAGCTACCTAGAGTTTATTTTATTTATCTATTTATTTATTTTTATTTTATTGTTTGAGACAGAGTCTCATTCTGTTGCCCTGGGTAGAGTGCCGTGGCATCATAGCTCACAGCAACTTCAGACTCCTGGGTTCAAGCGATCCTCTTGCCTCAGCCCCCAGACTAGCTGGGGCTACATGTGCCCATCACAACACCCAGGTAGTTTTTCTGTTTTTAGAAGAGATGGGGTCTCACTCTTGCTCAGGCTGGTCAAACTCCTGAACTCAAAGGATCCTCCCGCCTCAGCCTCCAGAGAGCTGGAATTACAGGCATGAGCCCCTGGGCTGTCTCCCCAGAGTTATTACATAGTTTTAAGTATATGCAGGTGCCTAACTTCATTTTTTCCAGAAGGTCAGCCAGCTGCAGAGGAGCTTTTCTTACCTGGGCGTCGTGTTTCACGGCGGCCGAGAGCAGAGCGATCGCGTTCTCCTCACAGATCCCTTGCTTGATGGTTTGCTGGCAGAGCTTTTTCAAACGATTTTCTCTATAAAATGTAGCCAAGTCCAGCAATCCTGGTGGGGAGAGGTGTTTATTAGGGGAGTGATTGCTAGCATCTAGATTTAAATGCACTCATTCAGAGATGATTTGGAATACAGCCCTCAGTAAAGACTGTGCCGCTGAAGACTCCATGCTGACTCACGTTTTCACATGTGGCTGTACCCGAGAAGGTAGCCACACGGAGCAAATACACAAACACCATTAGCTGCTGAAAAATAGAAGCACGGAGAGAATGCTTTAATATTTTCTCCCAGAAAACAAAGGAGTGTGCTTCTTTAATTTGTCCCTCCTGCTCCAATCTTGGTATCTTTCTCCTGGGTTGTTCTCGTAACATACACACACGCTGGAATAGTCCCCATCCTGGAAAGAAACCCTTTCCCAGACACGCATCTGCCTCTCATTTCTCTGCAACACTCTAGAGCAAAACAGAGCACTGTCTGTACCTGCTGTCTGCCTTTCTTCTTCTTCTTTGCTTTTTGTGGAGACAAAGTCTGACTCTGTAGTGAGTACCCAGGTCTAGTACAGTGACGTCAGGCTGGCTCACAGCAACCTCAAACTCCCGGGCTCAAGCGATCCTCCTGCCTCAGCCTCCTGAGTAGCTTGGACTGCAGGCACCCACTGCTACACCCAGCTAATTTTTTCTATTTTTGGTGGAAATGGGGTCTTGCTATTGCCCAGGCTGGTCTCAAACTCCTGAGCTCAAACAATCCCTCTGCCTCGGCCAACCAAAATGTTAGTATTACAGGCACCAGCCATCCATGGCCAGCCTTTCTCAATTTTCCTACCTCCCGTCCTGACCTCCACCCAGTCCAGGCAGAACCCCATCCCCATCACTCAATGATGGTCACACCTGTGGTTGTCACAAAATGACAAATCCAAGTGCCAAATCCACAGTGCCAAATCCAAGGTTCACTCCCTGGTTTCCTCTTACTTGACATTTACGCAGAATGTGATGGGTAGATGATGTTCTCCCTGGAACATTTTCATTAACTGCTTACGGTCGTCTTCTCCTCAGTTCTCTCGGGCAGAATATTCCCCTCAGACGCTGACTTCACTGACTTCCCTAAGTGCTCTCCAGCCCCAGGGTTTTAAACACCAAATATCTATTCTGATGTTCCCCTTACAGCACCTTCATCCACTTTAAAGTTATTCATGTAGACAAGGACATACATGTGTAAACCAATTTAATTCTCCCTGAGGGACCATGGGAAGCACTCTAACCAGGAGTGGTAATCAGCATTTGGAAGGTCCTATTTGTTTTCAGACACTGCTGTTGAACTCCTCCTTACAGACTGGTTGATTAGCATAAAGAATGTCAGGATTAGTTTGTGTTGGTGAAGTGAGTAGTGTTGAGGATGTGTGGCCTGGCTAGAAATACCATGGACCTCTGCTCTTGCATGAATGGGGTTTCAGCATTGAGAGCTCAGGTCCTACACCCTTGGCAGCAGCACGCAGTTCCCGAATGCTGATCAATAGGTTAGTTGAATTCCTGCTATTTAAACTATTGTAGCATGCACCCCAAGCTAAGCTTTTATGCAAGGTACTTACAACAGAATGCCTGAAGGACAAAGAGCTGGAATTTCATTCATCTTATATTAATTATTAATGTGTCTGCTAATCAATTTTGTACATGTAGCAGAATTTGACTGGAAACTTGCTTTCATTACAATATAACAAGGAAGAAAGCCCTATGGCCTATTGAAGAATACTGATAGCTGTAACCTTGAGAGTTGTGAATAGCTTCAATTGTTCTCTGCAGCCTCCAAAGCTACAGAGCTTCAGACTGCTGTAAGTCGCGCTGCCCTAAGAGAGGACCCTGCCCTGAGCCACTTCCTCCAGGCACACCCTCACCACAGGGCCGCCAAGGAGCCACCTGTCTCTTTCTAATCTAGACCACTCTTTGTGTACCTGAGAGCCTGGGAGTCCCTGCTTAATTGGCCCTGAGGGCACGTGTTTCTTCCCTCTAACAGACCCACACCACCAATGTGCAGACCCATGGCCCCAAGGGGTGTCCTGGGTTGGAGGTGGATGGCGTTTAGACATGCAGGCTGGAGAGCCCACATACTCCTTGCAATGCAAGATGTAGCCACAAGCTAGAGACCAGTGGTCTATCCTGCCTGTGCCACAGGGTTCTAGCACAAAACTCCAAGGAGTCTTGTAACTAAATTCCAACTAAGACGCAAACCTGGCCTTTCAGGCTGGAAGTACATTTTTCAAGATTGGAGGACTGATACTTTACCTGAAGTTTATTAGCTTGACATACAACTTAAAATTTTTAGGCATATGTACAAAGGATTCCATTTGAACTCTTGCCCAGCCCCTTGCAAAAGTTAGGAGAGGGCCTAATGTAAAAACTCCTGCTGGATATCTAATTGGCAAATCAAACTCCTTTCATTTTTCAAAGCTAAGAGCAAACCCTATTGCTTTCCACTTTCCCCACCTTGGTGCATGGTGCTTTCCTGAATGCTTCTACTCAGGCCAAACACTGCAGGGCAGCAGCCTTCTCTCACTCCTCACCCCTCCCCCCAATCCTTCAACAAATCACATCAGTTCCACCTTTAAAATATATCAAAAACTTGATCTCTTCAACACCCCCACTGCTATGCCACCCCCAACACAGATTACCATCATCTTCCATCTGAACCATTACAATTAACCACCTTTTTTTAAAAAAAAATCACATAACTCTTATGGCAGAAGCTGCCTTCCCACCCCAAACACACACACACAAGCACAGACTCATTCTTCCTTTATCCCCAAACCATAGAATCTTTAGTGCAGCCATGGCCATCTGGAAGTACCCACTTTCCTCAGCCTCCTGTACATTTGGGCACAACTTTGATCAACTCAGTCTACATTTGGAAATTAGGGAACTCGTGGGACACGCCCTTTAGCGACACTGGGGTTTGCTGTATGCCCATCTCCACCACCTCCGCCATGCTGCTGCCTGTAACACTCCACAGTGGTGAGAGTTTAACACTTCATCTCTCCCTTATCTACCCACTTGACCTTTGTATAAAGTAGTAACAAAGGAACAGAGTTTGGCTTGAACCCACACACAAATAGCTAGTTCTATGATTATTTTCACAGCAACTTTCTTTCAGGTTCTCCAGAAACCACCTTCCCACGTACTCCACATTTGCCAGGTTCTCGGGAAATTCCTTGGCAATTACCTACGGCCTCCTCAGGAGAAAGGCTGATGCTGTCTGTGTACAGGTATTCCAGAAAGGCTCGGTAAACAGGATATGAAAATTCACTCACTTCTACAATATCATCCTGGTTCTCTTCCAGCGAAGAACGAAAATGTTCGCATCTGAGGGAAGGAAGGAAGCATGTCAGGCCCTAGCTTCTGGGTGGCAGCAGATGGCTGCCCCGAGGAGCACAGCCTTCCTCGAAGACGCGCACCTGTCTGGCTTCCTCAGCTCCTTGTTTCCTTTGCTGACCTGGAGTTTTCACACAGTCATTTATCAAGAAGGCTATACCTGCCAGCCTGCTGATGTGGGGGCCCGCGCAGCTGCCTCTACGCCGCCCTGATGCACAGAATGCTGGGCCCCAGACGTCTCTCTCACACCACACCCACTAATCAGCATGTAGAAAAATCAGTGGGTTAATTTTTATCAAATTAGGGTAAATTTGTTTCTTCACTCTGTTGTGGGTTGAACTGTGTCCTCTAAAAATTCATAGAGGAGTTGAACTTCTAACCAACAGCACCTTAGAATATGACCTTACTGGGAGAGGGGGTCTTTAAAATGAGTTCATCAGGGTGAGCCCTAATCCAATACACCTGGTGTCCTGAGACATAAAAAGGGGAAATTTGGGCCCAGACACACACACAGGGAAAAGCCCATACGAGGATTTAGTTACCCTGCCACACACCAGAGTTCTAAAGAGTCTCACCAAACCACCATCTAAGACAGGCCTGGAACAGATTCTCCCACACAGCCTTCAGAAGAAACTCACCCTGGGGCAGCACCTGTGGCTCAGTGGGTGGGGTGCCAGCCCCATATACAGAGGGTGGCGGGTTCAAACACAGCCCCAGCCAAACTGCAACAAAAAAATAGCCGGGTATTGTGGTGGGCGCCTGTAGTCCCAGCTACTCTGGAGGCTGAGGCAAGAGAATCACCTAAGCCCAAGAGTTGGAGGTTACTGTGAGCTGTGATGCCACAGCGCTCTACCGAGGGCAACAAAGTGAGACTCCATCTCTATAAAAAAAAAAAAAAGAAAGAAAGTACCCATCCTGATGACACCTTGCTCTTAGACTCTTAGACTTCTGGGCTCCAGAACTGAGTGAGTGTTTAGACCACTATGCTGTGGCACTTAGTTATAACAAACTAACCCATCCCCTTCTCCACAAAGGTTTCTGTACTACAGTGAGAGTGAGCACACCGTGCACAGGGTGACCTTCCCAAAGGGGAGCTTGAGTCTCAAGTGCTGCATGGAGTTTGTGATTCATTAAAATAGGATTCAAGCATGTCATACAATAACATAAGGAATTACAAAATCATTTGCTGAGAGAAAGAAGCCAGGCACAAAAGGATGCAACCTGTACCATTCCATGTATGTAAACATCTAGAAAATGCTAACTAATCCACAGTGACAGAAAGATCTGCGCTGCCCGCGGATGGGCGGGAGGGGCCATTGGTGGGGGGTGGTGAGGGAATGTCCTGCACCCAGGTGTGGGGCGGAGGTTCCACAGCTTGTTCACAAGTCAGGGCTCCTCAGCTGCGCACTTGGGAGGGATGCAGCTCACTGATTTTTTGAATCTTTGTGTTCGCTTCTTCCCAGACCTTCTTGGCCTGGAGAAGTCTGGATCCTCTCTTTTCTCAGGCATCTACATGTCCAGCACCCCACCAGAGATGAAGAAGCGTGGTCACTGCGAGGCAAGCTCAGTTCCCAGGCAGGGAAGGTGACTGATGTCCAGGGACCCAATATGGTGTTCTGAGCACAGAAGGAACACACTTACCCAGCACGAGCTGGCGGCTCTGATGCCAAGGAGGATGAGAGACTGTCTGCGAGCCTCTCTGGAATGCCCACAGCGCTGACTTCCCCACACTTGTCACACACGGCCCGTGTTATTTCTTGTTTGACGTACTGGGTGTTTCCCTGGCTGCACCGTATGCTCGTAAGGGCAAAAATAGCCTTCCTTTGTTTTCCTTATCCCTGAAGTGCCTGACATAGTTCCCTGCACACTTAGAATATAATGATTGGAAAAAAAAGATTTACCTCAATTCTCAAAATAAATGATTCCTTACCTGATTTTGAGAAGGACTTTATGTGCATAAATATAGTTTCCATCAACCAGAAATGTCAGGTCTGCAGTGTCCGGGTTGTCAAATTCCCTCTTCAGTGACTCAGCCACAGTGAGGTGGTCATCGGGTTCTACGGGGGCAACACAGAGGCTTCTAGAGTAAACTACAGACACAGTGAAAATGCAGGCCACGCCACAGCCTTGCTCTGCTGACACTCGGGGACAATACTAATTCCCCAAGTTAATGCACTAAGTAAGGGATGCTTCTGTCCCTAAAGATTTGAATCTCTGTAATCATTAGAGATAAGAACCTCACACACACACACGTCTGCTCAGAAATCTGGCAAACCAAAAATAAAAAATCCCAAACCACCTCACTAATTTTCAGTGAAATTTGAGTGTTTGCATAAATGTACTAGCTAAAAATAAAAGATATAGTTTCCCAGTAAAGTTAAAAATCCATTAAATACATTGCTTTAAATTTAGTATTGGTGTTGGTCTCTAACGGTTTTAAAAAAGATTAATCCAATTAGTTCTCTTTCTTAGGAGCCCATTAGAGTGAAAGAAATGATGATATTTTACCTAATAAAGTCCCACTATCCAGATAAAAGCCCTGAGTTCCCTGCCTTGTCTTCAGACCCTCCCCTCCGAAAGGACCTTTCCCCCAGAGGACCAGCTCACCCACGGAGAGGAGGCGCCACGTGACCGCAGGAGTGGCAAAGCAGGCGAACACATCATCGGTGCAGGAGAAGTGGGTGAGGTAAGGGAGGACCACCGACTGGCCCCGGCACTGGCCCCACATGTACACGTGCCCACCCTGGGTCTTGGCGGCAGATGTGTGGGCAGAGTGACAGGCTGCGATCTCTATAACCCTAAATTCACAAACACGCCACATCAACACGGTGAACAGAAGAAGAAACAAGTTGCTTTCTCCCTCCCCCAGGTTTAACTGACTTGGGGCATTATGAACTTAATTGACAGAAGGGGGCAGGCCGGAGAAAAGAAAACAATCGCCTAACCAGACTTACAGACCTCATCTCATCAATTGGCAGGCCCCAAACAAATTCACACTCACAGCTCATGATGAGCTCTCCGTTAGCCCCGCTAGCCAATAGGCCTAGAAAAATATGCACCATCCTGTTTGGAAATTCAAGTGCAATCTAAGAGAGCAGAGGACTCTCCCTCCAAAAGGAAGTTAATTACTTTCTTGAAACATTACTTACTAAAGAAAATAATAAAGATTTGGGCCATCTGGACCTAGAGTCAATAAATAAATTTTCAACAAAACTTCCCCAATTTCAGCATGCTTGGATCATCTGCTCATACTGTGGCTCTCCCCCCGCCCCAGGGGGCCATATCATCTGGAGCTCACGGGAGTGGTTTTCTAGATTGCTATATGATAGACCCTCTGGAGTTAAGTTCATGATTGATGGGAGGTAGTTCTCAGAATATTTCTTAATGGAGAGCATCATTTTGTTGATCTGGAAAGAATTACTCTTCTATAAGGTTTGAAGATAAATTCTTTTACCCCCAGGGAGGGCCCCTTCTTGATTTTGCTGCCACAGGCAGTGATGGCCGCATCCTCAGAAACTCAGGCTCAGAACTTCAGTCATCTTTGACTTCTCCCTCCTACTACTTTCTTCAGAACATCCAGTTAACAAGTAACACAGATTCCTTCTTTGTAACGTGCCCCCTCAGCCACCACCTCAGGTCAGGCACACCCCATGTCTGGATCCTATAGCAGCCGAGTCTCCTGTGCCTCTGACTCTCTCCTCTGCCCCACATCACACAATACGGGCAGGTTTAAAAACTCCTGAAACACCGTTCTCATCGATACTTTCAACCCTGCATTGACTTCCTACAAGTCCAGGCATAAGACATCAAGGCCTTCCGTGATCTATGCAGCCTTTTTTGTCCACACACCTTCCAACAAATAAGACGTACTTACTGCCTCCAATGTCTTTATTTTATTCACAGTTAAGGACTTGTTCAGGAATGTTTTCTCTTTCTCATTGCATTAGGAAGCCTACCCATCTTTGGAGGCCCAGTTCAAACACTTCTGACCTTAAGCGGTCTCCTGCTCGCCTGAGTTCTTGTGACACTTCCCACCGGCCTTTCCTGTGTATAAGTTTCATCAAGACTACAAGTTCCTGACAAAAGGACTGGCTTATTTCTCCCTCTCTCTAAGTGCATAACACCGTGTCTTACTAAATATAATTTGTAGGTCATTTTACCAACTAAATGGGGAAGTCTCAGCCACACAGAGCAACTGAGGGCTGTGTAAGACCCCACTGACATACCCCAGTGGAGAGCCCGGGTTTTGGAGTCAAACAGGCCCAGCTTTGAGTCTGAGCTCTACTACCAGGCTGTGTGACTATGGGAATGCTGCTAAGCCTCTGGGAGCCTCCATTTCATCACGTTGCAGGGCTGGTGTCAGAATTAACCAATAAAATATTAAGTGCCAAGCACAATGTCTGTGTACAAAGGTAGCACAACAACAGAGGCTTCTTAACGCTCCTGCTACCTCTCTGCATTTTAAGCAACCGGGCCTCCCTTGGGTAGAGACTAAGTATATCTAACGATCAATTCAGATTAGTGGTAGACTCTTCTTCCCTAGAAGAGCCTTTCCTGACATTTGCAGGGTTAGGTCCATCCACTGGCTCCAACCTCTCATCCAGCGCTGTGCAAAAAAACCTTGCCAGATGGGGACAGTGGCCAGTACTATTTGGCTTCTCCATAAGCACCTGCTTTTCCACAAATAAAGAAAATAAGAGAAGGAAGTAGAATATGTGCATTTATTCAGAGAGAAATGCATCTCCTATTACCGTTTATTTCACTGTCAAGCATCGCATGTCACCCTCATATGTGAGGGTGCGAACACAGCCTGCATAGGCGGCCTGGGGCAGTGGACAGACAGGATGTGGGCTCTCAGCAGACAGGAGTTTGTAGAAGCCACTTACTTAAATTCTTATAATCAGCTTTGTCACCTTTTTAAAGGAAGAGGTAGGGTACAGGATACAAAGCAGCCATCGTGTCACAGCCCCACGGTTTAGGGTAAATGAGATAAGGCACCCGGCAGAGCTGGGCATTCACAAGTGGCTTCTGTGACTGAAAAGTGTCCAGCAGTTGCTGTAGGACCTATGGGGCCTGCTCTGAGGAGTCACGATCAGGCTGAGAAACTGCAAAGAGCTCCCACATAACATCACAGTGTGGGCTGGCACATCCTCAGGGAGGATTTAAAGTAAAAGGGAGCTTACCAGGACATGGGGCTTTGGATTTGTTACAAATACAGTCAGAGTCCATGAGGTGGAGAGAAAAGCATGACCAGACGTGCAGGCAGAGGGTGGGACAGCAAGGCTGCCGAGAGCATGACAGTAAGAGGCCCAGCAGGGGGAAGTGTGGGCACCTTGCAGGGGCAGATAGCAGCGAGGTTTACTAGGAACAGTGGTGTCAGCTCAGACCCAAGGCTGAAGAATTCAGATCTGATCTGACGTGATAAGCAAATGGGAAACAGCTTTACCCATAGGGCCATGAGGTAATGAAAATGGTGTTCTCAGAAAGACTGTGCTGGCAACAGTGTGTGGGGCAGACTGCAGAGACAGGACAGCCCAGGAGGCTGGCTGGGGAGGCCTACGGGTATGGAGATGTGCCATCCGACCCATGTGACCCAGATATCAATGCAGAGGAAGGAGAGGAGTCAAAGATGGCCCCGGAGTGTGAGTCCAAGGAAATACCAGCTTGGCTGTGCTGAGGGAGGCGGGAGCAGCTGTGGTCAGATAGTGGGCATCCAGACAGCCGAGCAGTTACTATGGAGAAGACCCACACCACCTGCACAGCCACCTGGTATCCCCTGGGGGCACTGGAGGTTGGAACAGCCCAGCAATGTTTAGGGAAACCTAGAGTAACTGCTCTTGCTTCCTTCAGATTTCAGTATTTCTACAAGGACCTGAGCCGGGATGTTTACTTTTTTTTTTTAATATGGAACACTTCACAAATTTGCATGTCATCTCTGTGCAGGGGCCATGCTAATCTTCTCTGTGTTGTTCCAATTTTAGTATATGTGCTGCCGAAGCGAGCACTCGTTTACATTTTTTTGAATAGTTTCTGTACACTTTGGGATAACATTCCATGAAAAATGTCACCAACTGGAATACAACACTGTTGTTCTTTGTGAAACTACCCAACATCAGAAAATTAAAACCATTTCACTCCTACATTCCCTTCTGAAATGTTTGTTATTAGCCTCTGTGAAAGGGCCCTTTGCCACTACTGCAGCTGGTGACCCGAGGTGGGAAGGCTGCTGCCTGGAGAGGGACTGGGACAGGCTGGGCCAAGGGACGAGGGAGGGGAGGGCCACACTGCCGCTGGCCGTCCCTGGGCACCGCCTCATGACGTTTACCTGGCACACCTGGCTCCGCAGGGGAAGTCAGGGGTGGGGCGCGGGCGTGGCTGACGGCAGCAGCTGCTACAGGAAGGAGAGGGGAGACAGTTTAGAGGGAACCTTCAGGTCTAGGCTTGGGACCCAAGCAACTGCCAAGGAACCTCACCTTTGCCTAAGGTCAGCGGTTCTTAAATCAGATCCATACCAAGAAGTAAATTTTTAGACACAGATTTTCCAATCTTCCATGCAACACACGAGGACTATCGTCTGAGCTAACCCTTACTCTCAGGAGCACTGGCATACTGCTGCACGCTTTATTTTGTAGTTAATCTTAGTGGGAGAAAAAAAATACCACATGCTCTTATTAAACAGGTTTTGTGTCACCTCAACAGAATGATCCGCAACAACCGCAGAGCTTAATGGCTGTGAAGTACTAGAAATGAAAAAGCAGAGAGTGAGAAAAAATGTCAAACAGAAAGCAAGAGGCGGGGCGAAGGGTCATCTGTGAGGGAAAAGAATAATGGAGGAGAAATACCAGTGACCAAAAGGTCCACAGCAGTGATTCCCAACCCCAAGAATTGCTGATCACCTCAGGAAGTCACAGAATTCTCAAAAACTCAAGGCTAAGTTAGGTTGACATCAATTTAACTTAAAATATGCTCTTACGGAACTTTAAGAACAAAGACACGAATCTGGTCGACCAAGTCCCAAGGGATTGAAGCTTCAGAAAGATTGGGAATGACTGAGTTGGAGAGAAGACAATCATTTTCGCTGTTGAAGTTATGTCCTTTAACATAACTTATGAAGTTATGAAGTTACTTTGATGTAAATCGACATTGCTGGCAAGTATTAGCATTCTTCATCATAAATAGCCTTCTTTGGGGAAAGATTTTAAAAGGTTTCTCTCGGGTTGTTGTTCAAGCAAAGAATCTGGTGTAGACAGATTTTTTTTCCTTTCCACTTCTGTGGAACGAAAGACCCACCCTGCCGTTAAGTCTAATCCTGTTCCTAATTAGTCAAGCTTCCCCATCATGGGCCCCAAAAGAGTCAGAAATGAGGTTTCCTGAGAGATAAGCCAAGACACATCCTCCGCGTTCCAGTCATTGGGAAGGGTGGAGAGGTGCAGAGCAAGTCCGAGCATGGATTTATCGATTCCTCCCTCACAACACGCCTGTGACCAGGCGCCTGGCTGAGATTGCTCAAGCTCAGAAATCATCCCCTGAAATTCAAATGTGCAACTCTGGGGAAATCCGGACTAATTCATTTGAAACACTCAACCCTGGTTTTACAACCAAAATCAAGTTTGTGTGGATAACAGCAAGTACTTGAGTTCATAGCTGTTCCCACTTTCTTTACATATTTATAATTCAAAATTAAGTGCAGTTTAAAATGATGGAAAAATAATAGATAACTCTAAAGGTGCAGTTAAGCAACTTGGTACTCACGTAACTTCCATTCCCTGCTTCTCTGCTTTCTCTCTCCCACCTTAGTGCCCCTCAATCCATCTGCCTCTTGTGCACCAGAGTCAGGAGGCCTGGGTGGTCCTTCTGGATCAGGGACTAGCAGTGCAACAGAAAGCACGCACTGCTGGGCAATGAGAGCAGATGGCTTTTGGTAAGTGTGCATGCACCATCAGAAAATGGTAACGTGAAAAAACTGGAAAAAAGCCTGGAGCAAGATGGCAGACTAGAAACATCTCCGCACTAGCCACTCAGTGAGATTGCAGAGAAGACGGCAGCCATCGCTGGTTGGAGTATCCTGCCCCGAAAATGGTCAAGTGCCATATAAATCCACTGTTCTTATTTCCTAGATCCTTAATACTCTGTGGATTGGTCTAAATACTAAGCATGCATGCCAACTGGATTTGCCAGCCTGAGGCATTTTTGTGATTATTCAGCCTCAAGACTGTCCCTTCTCTTCTTATTGAGAAACTCAACTACTCTTTACAGGATGTGCAAACCTATTCAACATAAGTGAAATAACATTAGCCAAACTGACAATATGCAAATGAAAATCAAGGGGTTGGAAATATGACAATTCGGTATTTCACTTTCATTGTCAAGTAGTCGAACAGAAGAATAAAAAAGAATTGCACATAAATGCAAGCTATTTATCCCTGTATCTATTTTAAAATCAAATATAATAAAAAATCGATATGTCCAATAAAAATAGCGGCATTAATTTCTACAATGATTGCAACCCTGTTTTAAAAGAAAAGATAATGAAATGTTTTTCCTTCATACTACTGTTGAGGAATGAAAAATGAAAAGGCAACAATCCAGATCTGGCCATGCTTGAGAAATCCAAAAGGCCTTCAAGAAATAGTAGGATAACGTAGAAACTAGTTTGGAATGTGCTAATTATATAACTCAACTTTGCAAACAAGTGCCCAAAGTAAGTCTTAATTTTCTAACCATTTTACTTCTCACTGTGATAGCTGGGGAGTTAAAGTAGTAAAATGAGCCTATTTTTTTCAACTGACAAATTTTCTTGCTCAGCGACTGCCCTTAAGCCCCATTCAAGGAACTTCGCTTTCCTAAGACACAGAAGAGAGACTCTGAAGTGTAATTGACTTCCCTGATAAATGTAAGACAGAAAATGAGGAGGGGAAGAGGGTAGTCTATAAAGGAGAAGAATAATGTAGAAAAACTATTGGTTTAGTTAGTTTGCTTAGAATGAAATATGGGTAAGTAAAAATAAGAGTAACAATTCAGAATAAGTAATTGTTATAGAATATTCTAATGCTAGCAGGAATTCTCTCTCATGTCTAAGTCCTGGTTAATCACTGCAGACCACCAGTGAGGGGGTTGAGAGAACACACACATTACCTGTCCTTTTCCACAACGACAGGGGTCGGATAGGACTGGTTGCTTTTATTGCCAGTACCCAGCTGGCCATAGGAATTGGCGCCCCAAGCATACACTTGGCCTTCATCTGTTAATACTAATGTGTGTGCGTAGCCACAGGCAACCTGGAAGGAAAGAGACCAAATTGACTCAGGTCCGCAAATGGAAATATTTCACAACTTTTGCAAAGTAGGTTAAGAATCAAAACTAAGAAAAAGGAAGAGGCAGCCTGCTCAGAGAAGCAGGCATCGAGTTAACCCATATCCTTACAGTACACACATGCAGCCAGAACTGTGGTAAGATCGCCAGGAGTCCCTTAGCTGCCTCAGCTTCCATTCATTCCATTGTTAATGCTTCACAGAAATCAAGGGGTATGAGGTGAATGTAAGAAACAGACGCTTTAATTTTTTAATAATGATTTTCTTTTTTCTTATAAAAGCAAAATGTACTCCGTGTGAAAAATATAGAGAAGTACCAATATGAAATTACTCTCAAGATCAGAGTTTTTTCTATTCCTATAGAGACATAAAGAAATGTACTGATAGCTTTTTTTTTAAATGGCCATATAAGTTAGTCCTATATCTTATTTCTTTTTACTTTATCATTACACATAGCACTTTTCCATATCATTCAAAATTCTTGAGGCAGGGCGCGGTGGCTCACACCTGCAATCCTAGCACTCTGGGAGGCCAAGGCAGGCAGATGGCTTGTGGTCACGAGTTTTGAGACCAGCCTGAGCAAGAGCCAGACCCCATCTCTAAAAACAGCCGGGTATTGTGGAGGGCGCCTGAAGTCCTAGCTATTTGGGAGGCTGAGGCAAGAGAATTGCTTAAGCCTTAGAGTTTGAGGTTGCTAGGAGTTAAGACACCACCGCACTCTCTACCAAAAGTGACAAAGTGAGACTTTGTCTCAAAAAAAAAAAAATTCTTTGTAAATATCATCTCTTTCATATAGGCTGACATAGTTTAATCATTAATTTATTATTGATTAGGAAATTATGCCACACCTATTGTTTTTCATTACTTGTTAATTTTTTTTTTTTCCTGTCTTTTCTTAACTAATTCTGTAAGAAGAGATTTTCTCTTTGGTTCCTTAGGATAATTTTCTAGGAATAGAATTATAGGTCAACATTGCCAAGGATATTTCAGGAAAGACTCTAACAATTTATATTCCAAAAGCTATGTATGAGCATGTCCTAAGAAAAGAGATTACTGATGAATAGGGACAAGTTAATTCAGAGAAAAAGAGCTTTAATCTTTACTTCAGTGACGACATCCAAGCAACTAAACTTTTCATCCTGCTAAGAAACTATGTTTTTAATACACCAGTATCTTTTCCACTGGAAACTTAAAACTACATGTGCACAGACCAACAGTGGACGTACCCTCTGGACACGGATGCCTTGCAATGCTGCTATTCTGCAGGGGGTTGGCTGGTTGCCACTACTGCCAAGGCCAAGCTGCCCATTTCCATTGTAACCCCAGACAAATACCTGAGAGGAAACCAGAAACATAACATTTGCGAGAGACAAACGGCCATCAGGTTCTCTGAGGGAGACACGCCATGCTAGTATGTCACTGACATGGCAAACAGATATTTTAAACAAAATACGAAATCGCTTTCTCACCTCCCCAGTGTCCACTACTGCCATGGAGCACATCTGCCCACATGCTATGGTCACTATGACTTTATTCTGTAAGCAGCCAGTGACTCGTCGGGGGATTGGCTGATTAGCTGTTGATCCAGATCCCACCTGCCCAGAGTTATTATAACCCCAGGCAAACACCTATGTGAAAGAAAAGATCAGTAAATGAAACACATTCTCGTGTGACGTGTCTCGACTAGACACAAACACACACTAGCAGCACCTTCTTCCCCTCAAAGTGCTTCACATCGAGAATTCTCAGAACAAGGGCAGAGAAGTTTTTACAAAATTCATTCTTACATGGGGTGTTATTTTACCAAATTAGGTTACTGGTGCTCTCTACGCAAACAGTAATAATTACTATCAAATATCATGTAACACAAAACCATGTACTTTGCCTTGTTCATATTTCTATCATTTGGGGATTTTTCTTCTTCTCAATAACCTCTTCTCTATAGCAATCTAGAAAGTCAATGTGTCTTTTTAAATTCTGCAGTTACAGAATTTTTTGCTACATACAGGTGAACTCCATAAGATAGACACTATGACTATGAATTATTACCAAAATGGGGCTGGTTTTAAGGGAGGTGTTCAGGTTTCCAGGACTGCTAAGGAATCTACAGGATCTTATCATAAAAAGGCAATGAATTTTATGCTGACTATTCTCACCTCTCCATCAGATGTTAGCACCAAAGAATGGTAAGACCCACAGGCAACTTCAATGACTTGTTTGTTTGACAAATTAGTAGAGATGTGACAGGGTACTAAACCATGATTAGTTGTCCCATTGCCCAGCTGGCTATAAGCATTATGACCCCAGGTAAAGACTTCTCCTTCTGAAAATAAAAAGAAAGATAACCAGCTTTCAAAACATCTACTTCATCATATGAAAATACTGCATGACTTCCACAAATGAAACCTAAAAATTTAGGTCCAAAAACGAATAACTTCCTTTTTCTACCAAATTCATTCCACAAAAGACTCTATTAGGAAAGCATGAACTAAATTCTACTTCAAAGCAACAATATGAAGTTTAAATGCATGCAATTATAAGAGTTGGAAAAAAGACTTTTTCTTCTTCTTCTTTTTTTTTTTTTTTGCCATGGTTGGGTTTGAACTCGCCACCTCCAACATATGGGGCCAGCACCCTACCCTTTTGAGCAACAGGCGCCGCCCCAAGAAAGACTTTTTAAAAAAGTAACAGAGAAAAGGCTGCTAAGAGTAATAGAAAGATCAACAGACTGAAAGTGAGAGTATTGTAAGGACACTTAACTCCTCTGGTTCTCAACTTCCTTATCTTCATAGAATAAAATATCACCAGGCTAATTTTTAAAATCTTTGTTATTATATTCTTTACTGAGCAATATAATACACACTCAGAAAAAGTTCATAAAAACAGACATGTAGTGTCATAATTATAAGGCTGCACTATTACTCAGATCAAGAAATAGAATCCCCCCAACCCTCACATACCTATCTTACATAAAATAATTTAGTTTTTCCTGTTTTTGAAATTTAAATAAGTGGAATCCCATGATATATACTTATTTCACCTGTATTTTCCACTATATTGTTTCTCTATACTACCTTCTGAATAATTTCTTCTGCTCTGTCTCCTGGTTTATTAATTTTCTGTTTTGCTATATTCAAGCTGCTACAGAATTTGAACACTACATTTTCATTTTTATAATTATATTGTTCATTTTGGTTTTTTCCAAAGCTTCTATGATCTCTGCAGGTTATCTTCAAGTTCATTTTTTATTTCTTCAAACAATAAATACAGCTATCTTGTAGGCGTGTGATAATTCTAATGTCTGGTGTTTTGCCGTCACTTCCTGCTGTCTGCTGTTTCTGGTGCTTCTCATTCATGGTACCTGGTTTCCTTGTACAGTAGTCCCCACCTCATCCTTGGGGGACCCGTTTCAAAACCCCCAGTGGATGCCTGAAACTGCAAATAGTACCAAACAGTATACATTGTTTTATCCTACACATGCATACCTATGATAAAGTATAATTTAGACGTTAGGTACAGCAAGAGACTAATAACAATAACTAATAATGAAATAGAACAATTATGAAATGCAGTAATACAGTTCATAACTTCATCAACAGAACATTCCTTCTTTCCATAAGTGTTAGCAACCTCAGCATACAAGGTTTTTTTTTCCCTTATTAAGTCAAGAACTTTCCTTTTTTTACTTAAGGCAAGCACTTTATGGCTTTTCTCTGGCATAGCCAAATTGCAAATATCATTTGCTCTTTTAGGGACCATTATTAAGTAAACTAAGAGTTTCTTGAACACAAGAACTGCAATCCTCTGACAATGTGATCTCATAACCTAGACAGCTACAAAGTGACTAACGGGGAGGTTGCACAGACAATGCAAATCCACCGGACAAAGGAATGATCCAGGTTCCAGGTGGGATGGACCAGGACAGCCCAAGATTTCATCACACTCCTCAGAATGGTGCATGACTTAAAACTTATAAATTATCTTTCCTTTGAATTTTCCATGTAATATTTTCAGGTCATGGTTGATTGTAAGTAACTGAAACCGTGGAAAATGTAACCACAGATAAAAGAGTACTATTGTACCTGGTTATCTTTGACTAGACATTGCTTATTGCCATAGAAAAATTGTTTGGGGACCAGGCACAGTGGCTAACATCTATAATCCCCACAGACCCAGAGGCAAGAGGATCACTTAAGCTCAGGAGCTCAAGACCAGACTGTATTACATAGTGAGACCCTCATCTCTATAAAATCAAAATAAAATTAGCTGGCTATAGTGATGAATACCTGAAGTCCCAACTACTTGGGAGGCTAAGACAGGATGACATCACCAGAGCCCAGGAATTTGGGGTGAGCTATGACCAGGCCATTATATCCCAGCGTGGGTAGCAAAGTGAGACCCTGCCTCTCAAAAAAATTAGAAACAAGGCTCGGCACCATTAGCACAGTGGTTACGGTGCCAGCCACATGCAGTGAGGCTGGCAGGTTCGAGCCCAGCCCAGGTCAGCTAACCAACAATGACAACTGCAACAAAACAATAGCCAGGCATTGTGGTGGGTACCTGTAGTCCCAGCCACTTGGGAGGCTGAGGCAAGCGAATTGCTTAAGCCCAAGAGTTTGAGTTTGCTGGGAGCTCTGAAGCCACAGCACTCTACCGAGGGTGACAAATTAAAACTCTGCCTCAAAAAAATAAATAATAAATAAAAAAATTAGAAATAAAAATAAACATATTTTTTAAAAACAGAAAAATTATTTGGAGTGGTCCCCTCAGGCCTAGGATGAAGGTGGCTCCTTTTAGAAAGAATCTGCATTTACTTCTATCATGCCCATCCAGGCGTCCTCAAACTACGGCCCACAGGCCACATGCGGCCCACTGAGAACATTTATCCAGCTTGCCAGGTGTTTTTGCCACCACTGCCTGTCCTGCTTAGCAGCCGACTAGTCCTGGGGCCCGCAGTCAGGCCTTCCAATGGTCTGAGGGACAGTGAATTGGCCCCTGTTTAAAAAGTTTGAGGACCCTGTGAGATGCTGCCATGCCAGTACAGCTAACAAATTTAAGGCTTGAGATTTCTTAGACCATCCAGTCTGACATGAATTAAACTACAAATCCCCAGTTACAAACTCTTGGGGAGAAATTTTATTTCTTTTCTTTCTTTTTTCCTCCCTGCTTTGCTCAGAGCAAGGAATTCCTGTGAATCCTTAGGAAGTGGCTAATCCTTTCCTTGGGAGTGGAGGCTCTGCAGTCCTACCTGAGTGGGGAGACCTTCTGGCAGACTCCTGCCCAGTAGGGACCCTGAGTCAGTGAGGGGGGAGGCAGATGCCTGTAAGGCAAAAGTAGCTTCAGGTTCCCCCTCAACCTCTTAAACTTGGTCTGGTAACTTCCTTCTGCCTTGTCAGTGTTTTGCTATCTTTGTGAAAAAAAAATTTTTTTTTTTGCAGTTTTTGGCCAGAGCTAGGTTTGAACCTGCCACCTCCGGTATATGGGGCCAGCGCCCCACTCCTTTGAGCTGTAGGTACTGCCCTCTTTGTGAAAACTTTAAAACAAAATTTTTTTTTTTTTTTGAGACAGAGTCTCACTTGATCCTCCTCAGTAGAGTGCCCTGGCATCTTATCTCACAGCAACCTCAAACTTTTGGGTTCAAGTGATTCTCTTGCCTCAGTCTCCCAAGTGTAGCTGGGACTACAAGTGCCCACCCTGATGCCTGGCTATTTTTAGAGAAGCTGTCTCATTCTTGCTCAGGCGGGTCCTTAACTCATAATCTCAGGCAATTCACCTGCCTGAGCCTTGCCAAGTGCTAGGATCACAGGCGTGAACCACTGCGCCTGGCAAGAAAGATTTTATCTAGAATTTTAGTTGCTTTTGGTAAAGTGATAGTTTGAATAATCTAACCTACTGTTACTAGAAACCAAAAATCTTCAGAACTTATTTTTTAAATACGAAATAAATCTACGAAGCAATATTTATAAAACTTATTTTCAGTTTAAAGAATGCTAAGAAAACAAATATTAAGCTAAAGGAAAACTCCAATGTTTTAATTTTAATATCTTATTCGTCTGAATTTATGAAACAGCCATAAGATGTTTAATTCCTTATACTACTAATCCCCACCCCAGCATCCCTGTAAGACCCACAGAATGATAAGAGTTGAAGGGGGGATGTTGAAATCAAGGTTCAGTCTCTCAATTCATAGATCAGGAGTCTAAAGTTTAAAAAGTGGACTTGAACTTGCCAAAGTCTACAGTGAGTTCAGCAGGGTTAACAGCTTAGAGCGCTGCCAATAACTGCGAGATTCTATCTGCTACATTATCTTACTCTGATTTTCAGATATATTCCTATTTCATGCTGTCCAAAACATAGTCAAGTTCATGGGGCACAGCCAGAAACTCTCGCCCAATCAAAAAGTATATTCTCAATTTAAGGGCACTTATAGTCTTATTTCTCAACAAATAAACAACGGTTAAAATTCCACACAGCGTCCCTATGTTACCTGTTGTTGCAAGGACAACGTGTGGGCCACTCCCGTAGCTGAGGCAGGCTATCTTTTTGCCACTTAAAGAATCCAATTTCCGAGGTTCAATGGTGCTCTGGATGTCACCTAACCCCAAACAGCCACAGCAGTTTGTGCCAAGCACAAAAATCTGTGGGAAAAACCGCTGTTAGTGCAAATAGTTCTATTTCTGACAAAACTATGAATTAGATACGAGCGGGCACAGTCTTCCTAAAACCAACTGCTTCATTATATAACAAAAAAGAATCTACTTTCCATGCTCTTTTTTTTTTTAACCTTTAGTCCATCGTTCCCCCTGAGATCTTCAATTTAGCAAGCCATTTCTAAAAATACGGGTGGCTGAATTATTTTCTCCCAAATTACCTCATCATTTACTGTAGTATATAAAACTTCATTGCCAGCGCTGCCAAAGACACAAGCCTGACGGATTAACTGCAGTTCCTCCTCAGAACAAAGGGAAAACATTGGCCACTTGCCCACATCTAACATCTTCAAAGATGACAGAGTAGCCCGTATTGGCTGAAAAGGAAAAAAGTATATATTGAGACTCCTAATCCAAAAGCTCAATTTTCTTTGCCCTGTCACTTCTGGGGAAGAGGACTAATGCTCTGCTCGTGTTTTTGGAGAGGAGTCTCACAGCTGCAGGCATTGCCCGGATGCCAGCTGCTTCGGGCTGCGCTCACAGCACCAGGGACCTGGATGGAACCAGGTCTCGACAGTTCGTTTTCCTCAAGGACATGGGACTCATCCAAAGCTGAACTTTGGGGAGCTGACTGTTTAGTAAGCACTTTAAGTATTGGCTATGTTTTTAAAGTATCTGTGGAAACTAGGCTGGTTGTAGAAGCAAGAGAGAGAGACAGAGAGAGAGAAACAGACAGAGAGAGACAAACAGAGAGAGAGAGAGAGAGAAACAGAGAGAGAGAGAGAGAGAGAAACAGACAGAGAGAGAGAGACTGAGAACTGCTATTTCATCTGCTGCCTATGTCTTAACAAATCAAATCCTTGGAAAAGAAACAATGCTGAAGGTGACACCAGGGAAATGGTCCCAGAGTTTTCAGTTCAAGGGCAAGCTTGACCATCATTATCAGAGGTTGGTGGGTTTCCTTGTCCCCCACTCGAGGCCTGGAGATTGGCAGGAAGGAACCCCTAGAGAGCATATGTACTAGTTGGCTAGGGCAGCCGAGACAAGCTTGGGCTCCAAACGACAGAAATGTGTTGACTTAAAAGTTCTGGAGGCTAAACCTTTCGGAATGAAGGTACCAAGGCTCCTTCCCAGGGCTGTGAGGAAAGATCTGCTCCAGGCCTTTCTTCTTAGCTTGTAGACAGCTACTTTCTCCCCGAGTCTATTCACATCATCTTTCCCCCATTTCATACCTCTGTGTCTAAATCTCCCCCGTAAGGACAGCAGTCACATCAGTTTAAGGTCCACCCTCACGACCTCATCTTCCCCAAATGCATGTGCAATGATCCCATTTCCAATCAGCTGCATTCTAAGGTACTGGGTGTCAGGACTTCAACACCTGAATTTTGGAGGGTCCCAATTAAGTCCCTAACAGCACGTACCCACAGGAGCACTAAATGTGCACGTGATAAAGTTGTTTAAAAAGACAGTTTTTTACTTTTTTGCTATACCGGAGGCCTTTTTACACACATACTTTTCAACTTCCAAAAATTCTGATGATTACCATAAGATGCATCAATAGCCACAATGCCTATCAAAGGCTATGTTTGGCTATTTCCCACAACAATCACCAAACTCACGCTTTATTTAAAAGAGCAAAGGTTTTCTAGGGATGTCTTTCTCATCAGCTGTTAAATCATCCTAACTAGGAATGAGTTCTGGCGTGAACCTGGACACTCCAGCTATTTACATTCCACAGGTCTGAAAGAATAAGAACACTTATCCCTTCCACTCAGGAGCCAGGAGAGGACGTCCGACAGCACAAGTCAGCAACTCTGCTCTTCTTGAGTTCACACCATTACTTACAAGACTCCACCATCCTCATTACTGTGAATTTACTCTGGGGCCACCTTCACAGACCCTCAAGTACCCTTCATGGGGACAGAATGTCACTGGTCCCTTAGATAGAGTCAAAAATACAATAAACACTTGTGTTGGTGAAATGAAGACATGCGTGTTTGCACGGCGGGCTCACTTCCAGATGCACAGCCCTCCTGCACATCCCACCCTGGGTGTCTCCTGGAAGAACATTCCAGAGTCCTGGCCCCTCCAATCCCTGCTCACAGCCCCAGTGCTCAGCAGTTCTACTTCACCTTAACCATGTCATCAAACACTACTCTATTTCCACGTCTCAAACTTTTAAGTTCCCTCTGATGACAGCTAACAATCCTATATAGGTATCAAAGTGAGGTCTGCAGTGAGTAAAAGCACCAAACAGCTGTCCCCATGACCGCGGGAACTTAGAGCAGAAACAAGCAGAGCCAAAGCTTTGTTTCCGTAATTTTAGCTTTCTTTTTAGGTTTCTACCTTTTCTGAAGCTAAAAAGTTCTAATGGTCATTTTATAGGAGAAACATGAAGAAAGCCCAACAGGGGTTGAGTAGTTATTTCCCAAAATCCAAAAGTTCAGATCTACCTGGCAACTCAGAATGACTTTATTTGGAAATAGCCTCTCTGCAGATACATGGTGAGTAAAGAGGAAGTCGTCCTGGATTAGAATGGGCCCTAAGGCCAATGACTAATGTTCCTACAAGAAGCTAAGAGGACACACAGAGACCCAGGGAGGGGCAAGAGGCCATGTGACAAGGGAGGCGGAGATCTGAAGGGATCCACACAGCCATAAGTCAGGGACACCAAGAATTGCTGGGAGCCACCACCAGATGCTGGGGAGACTTTTCCCTGGAGGGTGCACAGCCCCCAAGACACTTGATGTCAGACATCCAACCTCCTGAACTCTGAGTAAATACATTTTTTTTTCTTTTTGTGCTGGCCCCATATACCAAGGGTGGTGAGTTAGAGCCCAGCCCTGGCCAAACTGCAACAAAAAATAGCCGGGTGTTGTGGTGGGCACCTGTAGTCCCAGCTACATGGGAGGCTGAGGCAAGAGAATCACCTAAGCCCAAGAGCTGGAGGTTGCTGTGAGCCGTGATGCCACAGCACTCTACCAAGGGCAACAAGGTGAGACTTTGTCTTTAAAAAAAAGAACTTAAAAAAAGTAATAAAAAGAGAAAATAAATTTCTGTTGTTTCAGTTGTAGTTACTTTGTTACAGTAGCCCTAAGAAACTAACATAGAAGCTAAGCTGTCTAGGAATACAAGAGTCTTTATAAAAATATTTCTTTCTCCTCTGAGAGATGCTTTGTTTACTGAAAGAATGACGATTTGCCCTAGACCACGATAGAGCTAAGGACAAATTCTTGTTTTAGTCTGAACTTCTACTTTAGATTACCCACTACCTTATATTCGGAAGGAATCTCATTTTCTCTGAGGACTTCATTTTTAATTTTCTTCCTATTTATGTCTGCAAATTTCAGAAAGAGTAAAGTTAGGGAAGTAGCATCAAGTATGTAATGGAGATGTATCAGTCATCTAGTGAACAGGTCTTATCTGTTGTTTCTAATCTTCACAACAATTGTATGACATAGGTATCACTATCCTCATTTTCCTTATGGGGAAACTGAGGCAAAGGGAGACTAAGTAATCCTTGTGATCACTAGCTTCTAAGCCGGTAAGCCAGATTAGAGCCCAGATTTCTTACCCACACCTGATTGTTGGGTAAAATGTTTACATAAATTTTTACACAGAGGCTACCGTTTTCCCCTGCTAATAGCATCACCCTGTGAGTCAGGGGCAGAGCCCGAACCAGGGCCGAGCTCCCCTGATGCTTCGTCCAGACATTTTCCCTCCTCATGCCACTTGGGTCACAAGACCCTGCCCCAAGAACACACTTTGTTATCTGCTGGACGGCACCCATGGTTGACCCAATGTCTGTTTGCATTTGCTGTCATGGAACCCTTAAGGAACAGGCCAATAATCCCCACTGTCAGCGTCTTTCACGAGCAGGGCAGCGGGCAGGACACGATGACTGGCTGCAACCTCATTTTATTTTCTTCCAGGCAGACTTTGGATTTTATCCTGCTCTGTCACAAAATCAACTGATTTCTTAGATGCCTACAATCAGGTTGTAAATTCCAACCAGCTCCTAAATACTTGTCTACCAATCTTTAGTCCTAAACATTCTTTTTGGCCCCTTGTACAAAAACCTACAGTATCCCACCTCTGATTCTGCTGACTCCTGGGATATGTGCACATAGGTGCGCGTGCGTGTGCGTGTTTAATGTAATCCCTAGTCTGTACATTTTATGCTTCTCATGACAAGTCTGATAGTATCATTAAAGATATAAAAATAAAACACTCATTCCCTTCAAGGAGGTCACAATTTAATGAAAAAAGTTATAATCTAATCTAAGTACACGGAGATGTGACTATACGGCTTTTTATTTTATTTATTTATTTATTTATTGGAGACAGAGTCTCAAGCTGTTGCCTTCGGTAGGGTGCCGTGGCATCATAGCTCACAGCAACCTCAAGCAATCCTCTTGCCTCCAATTTTCTATTTTTAGTAGAGATGGGATCTCGCTTCTGCTCAGGCTGGTCTCAAACTCAGGAGCACAAGCTATCTACCCTTCTCAGCCTCACAGAGTGCTAGGATTACTGGCATGAGCCACTGCACCCGGCTACACTGCTTTTTAAATCTCTGTCAGAAGGCTAATTGTTGGAGGTTAGTCATTAAAACTCATTTTTTAAGTCTGTGGGGGAACTATTATTACATAGGGAACTAATGACCTAATTTATAGAATACATCTATACTTTTTAGGAGTAAATATTTAATACAAGTTGAGCATCCTTAATCCAAAATCAGAAATGCTCCAAAATCCAAAACTTCTTGAGCACCACTATGACGCTCAAGGTCATGCTCAAAAACTATGCTCATTAGGAGCAGTTCAGGTTTTGGATTTTCAGATTAGGGGTGCTCAACTGGTAAATATAAGTCAAATATTCCAAAATAAAAAAAAATTCCAAAATACTTCTAAGCCCAAGCATTTCATATAAGGAATACTCAACCTGTATCAGTCTCAAAGGATTACAGCATCTTTGTTCACAGAGAACAAAAACGTTCTCAGACCAAAAAACTCATCAGACAATGTATAAAGGATTCACAAACACACAGTCCCCCATAGGAGTCTGAATCACACTGTCGCCCCTCCGCATGATAGCAGCTGTCCCTGGAGAAGGCACCCAATCAACTCCATGCCCAACTGCCAAGTACAAAACTCACTGAACAAAAGCCAAGTGTGGGCAATCGAAAATATGGGAAATGGAAGCATAAGAATGGGAGTCTTGCTAATGTTCATTCAGCATTAAGATCTTGGCTCTGGAATTTATAGTCCTATTTTGGCCGAAGTAACCCTCCTTACATCACGTAACACTACCTTAGGTGATAATTCACCCAGACCTGTCTTCTCTTATTATTTTGCTCAAATTTAACCCACCTCTCTTGCCTCCCTTGTATCTGTTTGGGAAATTAAAAGTAGTGAAATTTTAATCTTAGCTCCAGGGAACTATAATTAAGGAAATACATCTACCATAAATTGTGTCTTATTATTCTTTGGGGTTACCTGTGTAACCATACTCTCCATCAACATGAAGGATCAAGTGCATTAGTATATTGTACTGAATTACAGACAACTATCAAGTTGTCACAATTCAAATTAAAATACAGCCTATGTGCATGGATTCAAAATCAAATGAGAGTCATACCTGGACCCCTCCCCCCCAAAAAAGTCTTAAGAAGAAAGGCCAACACCTCACCTTTGGAGGATTTCCTAGCATTATAACATTTTGTATGTAACAAAGTAATTTCGTCGCTGATTCTATGAACCCATTCTTTTATTTTACAAAATCTGTTCCAAGGAAAACTGAGAAATTTTTCTGATAACATTTTGTAAAACTCTCAATTTCTATACCTCGCTTTTGCAAGGTACTTTTGCATGTTCCCACAAGGGCTCATTTTGTAAAACTCTCACTTTCTATACCTCACTTTTGCAAGCTACTTTTGCATGTTCTCACAAGGGCTCATTTGGGACTTGAACACTTCAAGCCAGCACATGATAATGCTAGGTCCTCATTTCAGAAGCTCTGCCACCTTTGTATACTACACTGGTTTTATAGAATTATTTACATTTTTAACGTTTGACCTATTTTTATTAAATAAGAATGGAAAACTGACAAATAAAAGTTAATTGTGATAGTTTATACTAAACTACGAACAGTGATGAGCAGGTATTTTGTAAATTTAATAAAATAAGACAAGAGGGAAATTAATATGCATGCTGCTGCACGATGTGAAACTTTTAACATCAGCTGGACACTGGCTGGACTTAAGGTGGTTGACTGTAATGTTCAGACGTGATGGAACAGAAAGAAATTAAAGAATGCCTATGATGAACCAAAAACATACCACCTGAGATTAGGCAGTTCATAATCATTTTTTAATTTCTGGGAATGGAATAATTATGGCTCAGCTCCAAGCCTTTTGTGGGCCAGCATTATCTGTGAACACGGGATGGTTTGCACTTCTCCCCCACTCTGGCCATCTCTCGGGACCCCTTCCCTGCCCCTCAGATGATATCAGTTCCCTGCTGGCCCCTTCAGCATTCCACATACCCATGATAACTATTGGTTGGCATCTCAAGAACTGCACTGTGAGGACCTCAGAGAGAGAAACTATCTCATTGATTGTTGGGGGACCCAGAGATGTTTGATAAGAATGTTTCATGCGTCAGAATACACATGCTCTCTCCAAGAGCATGATGTTTTTCTAACCTTGCCACTTTCTCCATTGAAAAAAGGAAGTTCTTCTTCCATATGGACTCAGTCCTGTGCGGTCCCTGAGGAAAAAGTACGTGATAAAATCAGGATCCCCTATGTTGGATGAAACTAGACAGGTTAAAATTGCTTTACTTTTAATGAACAGAGAAAATAAGCTAAGGCTCAACTCTGGTGAAGGGGAAATAAGAGAATTAAGCTTCAGATATGAGAAGTAATAGGTATAAAACCCAAAAGGTGTTTTCACTGCTCTGAAACTACTGGAGGAACTCTTCTAGGAACCCTCTCACTGGAATCTGGAAGAGTAATCTGAGGATATATGTAGGCCCCTAAATCCATAAGGAAATGAGTGGAAAATTGTCATTTCAGAATTGACTTCCTACAGATAAGGAAATAGAAATTTTAGACCTTGGTCAACTTTTCTCGGGGATTGGAAAGTTCCAAATCACTGTGAAGAGCAGACTTATCAAATCTCAGCTCCACTGAAGAATATAGGATTGCTAAGCTGGAAAAAAAAAAAAAAAAAAGAAAAGGAGAAATGAATGAGAAGGATGAAAGGATGAAAGAATGAATGTGGCTTTGTTATCCTGGACTTTAATGAAAAGTCTGCAGCCGCAGCACTGACTGTGCCTTCATGACATCTCCACAATGACTGCTTTCCACCAGCGAGAAGTAACAGCAGGTGCAGCCCAATGAGAAGATACGCAGTATGTCTGCACTGTGGCTCAGTCTTACCCAGTTAACTATGTCATCACTAAATAGAAATAAAATATTCTCTGCCTCCCCCAAAAAACAATTTCATAATGCTGTTTAATAGTGTTGTTTTTTTCTTGTTAGATTAGGTCCTATTTGCTTAAATACAATCTGTATTTCAAGTACTAACGTCAGACCATTTTATCTGACATTTTCTATGGTAGAGATAGAGCCTGTGGGAGATAAAAACAATAACCAAAATAAGGTCAAATTTTGATAGTATTCCTTAACAAAGTTTGTTTTGGTTGTTTGTTTTTAATTTTTATAAAAATTTCTGCAGAGATAGAGTCTCACTATGTTGCCCAGGCTGGCCTCAACCAATCCTCCTGCCTCTGCCTCCCAAAGTGCTAGGATTGTAGACACACAACACTGTCCCCTTACCACTATTTAGAGTGCCCTTGAAAATATTAGTAATTGTTTTCCCTAGCTGTAAAAAGGTCTCTCAGAATATAAGGAATAATCATATATTCAGAATAATTATAACTCAAAACTATAGCAATAACAAATCATTATTTCTAATGTTTGGAAACAAGTCAAAGAAGAGATGCTTGTTTTTAAAAGAATTGCTTGGCCAGAAATGGTGGCTCATGCTTGTAATCCCAGCACTTTGGAAGGTTAAGGTGGGTAGATTGCTCGAGCTCAGGAGTTCAAGACAAGCTTGAATAAGAGTGAGACCTCATCTGTACTAAAAGTAGAAAAAAAAAAAAAAACTAGCTGGACATTGTGGTGGGCACTTATAGTCCCAGCTACTTGGGAGACTGAGGCAAGAGGATCACTTGAGCTCAAGAGTTTGAGGTTGCTGTGAGCTATGGTGTCATTCATGGCACTCTATCCAGGGCTTTTTTTGTGTGTGACACTCTGTTTCAAAAAAAAGAATTACTTAAAAAATTTCTCACTTAAAAATTTATAAAACTTGATCTAGTTCACAATATAAATGTATGTTGCCATATTTAATTTATACTTACTAGTCATTATCTATTATTATCTATTATCTATTTTTTAACAGCAGATCTGTTAAAATCCTAATTTTCTCTAAAACCCAGCATGACCATCACATTCATGTGGGTCCTGATTACCCGAATGGGCTGAGATCGCCTTCTCTTCTGCATTTCCACAGCACTTTTTTCTTAAACATCATTAATGGCACTTTTCATATTCTGTCTTATGTGGTAAAAATTTAATACAACTTATCTTCTCTATTAATTTGCAAGCTTTTTAAGTGAGTGGACCATGATTCTTTCATCACTATAACTTTCCCCCTCCCCCTAGTATGTGGCCCAGAGTAGAACACAGCATAGCCATTGACAGCATCCCTAGAATATAACTTTCTATATATTGGAGTCTGTATTGAGGATTGCTCTCTTTTTCCTCATCCTAACTGCTTCATTCTATATCTGCCCATACGTTTACCTGAAAAAAAATAAGGGGGGGGGGGGAGAAAGAAGAGAAAAGAAAAAGGGACCAAATAGAATGTGACTTCCTTTTTTCCTACTACCTTAGGGCCCCTTTGTTCCCAGCAGAAATCTTGGTAATGTACTAACATAATAGAACCCTGGGTTTTTAAGTAGGAAAAGAACTCTTTTCAATGTCTTTGATCAATTTTAAGCATAACAAATCTCTTTAAAATTAGGATGTTGGGAAAACAGGCTGTTCTATTTATTTGACTGAGCAGGTTAAAACTCATGAAAATTACCAATTCAAGGAAATGACATTCACTAAGACTTGATTAGCATGAAACACAAGATTAACCTAAGTTTGTGTCTGCTGATCAGAAAGTCCTTCAAGATCTAAAAATGATTCGAGATTGATTACCATTCTACAATACTATAAATTATTGAATTATCTAGCAGTCTAGAAAATGGCTGCTTTATTTTTTTTACATGATTTCAATGTGGTACATATATAACAGAGAAAATCAGCTTTTCCAATTGGCACCATTGGAGGAATACAATCTGTATGGCACACATGGAGATTATAATTATTTGGTGATCCACATGATTTCATCAAGCTATTATTATATTGTAGTAGTATATCAATATATGCTTTTTAAAAAAATCTACATTATACATATAGAAAACCACCTCTATGATGTGATAAACATGCATTATAAACAACAGCAACAATAACAGTGAAAATAAACAGTCACTATGTGCCAAATAGTATCTCCTTTAATCATTTTAAGAACCAAATGGAATAGGGATTATCATTTCCTGCATTTAATTCAGATTTCAATAACTTGATCAACAGTCACCAACCCCTCAGGGCCAGAGCCAGTATTTGAACACATGCCTTTCCACTGCATTACAGGGATAGATAGTTTAAGTTTTTTCTGTGTACATTCCAAACAGTTTTATTTTATAGAACTGGCTGGGAACATACCCTCCAACAACATTTGTACCTGATTGTTTTAAATTTCTGCAGCCAAGTATTCAGTCATCTTTAATCCTGTTCCTTTTAGATCCTTGAAACGTTGTCTTCTGGAACAAAGTTAATGTCACTGGAAATATAAATATATAAATTCCATTAGAGAAAAACAGAAAAGAGAAAGAATATGTTATCTCACCAACTTCACATTTCATTACTTATCTGAGAAAAATATAGTTTAAAGATTGTATCAGTTCATCATTTAAAAGTCTATAGTAGAGGTGCTCTATTATGAAAATACTAAAATTATAAAATGTAACTATTGATGTTACACATTGTAAGTTTTGGGAGAGGGTTTCAACAATTTGTGCACTGAAACATAAAACCCAGACTTAAGAGAGTTTATAGCATTTCAGCATAGAAAATAAAAGGGAACCCCATGTGGAAAGCAAAAAAGCAAAATTTTCAAACTTCAAGAAGAAAATGTAGAAAATATCTTGATGATCTCAGAGTAGAGTAAGATCTCTTAAAATAAGATATGAAAGTAAAAACCACAAAGACTGGTAAATCTGAAAAACGGGAAAAATGCATCACAGAATGGGGGGAGATACTTGGAATATACACAGATGACAGTTGACAAAAGATTAGTATGTAAAACATACAAAGAATGCCTACAGATCAATAAAAAGAGGACAAAAAACACAAGTCAGAAATGGGCACAGGACACGCTCCCTTCACAGAAGAAGAAATTAACAAACGTAGTGAAAGATTTCAGATTCTCCATGGACTCTATCGTGGAAATGCAACCACAATATCGTAAGATCTGCAAAAAATTAAAAGCTGATAATATCTAGTGCTGGTGAGGCTGTAGATGGAAAGGCACATTCATATAGTGATGGAAGGAATGAAAACTGGTATAGGCACATTAGAGAACAACTCAATGATATTTATACCACCCCAACGTCTTTCAATTCTCTTTTTTTTAATTTTAATTTTTTTTTTTTACTTTTTTTTTTTTTATTGAATGGTAACTATGTACATTAATGCACTTCTGGGGCACAGTGTGGAGTTTTCACACACAATCCGAAACACTTTTATCAAACTGGTTAACATAGCCTTCATGTCATTTTCTTAGTTATTAGTTTAAAACGTTCACATTCTGCTCTTAGAAAGATTCACTTGTAGCCTTGTAAGATAAACGTCTTTCGATTCTTTTTGACGTCTATATGTAACTGAAAGAAAAATTTCACAGAATAATTTTACCCCTCTTACATGAGATGATCAGTGATATCTTCTTGTCTACTTTATGCTATTTTATTCTACTTACCTTATCCTATTTTATTTCAATATAAAAGAAAATGCTGATCCCAGACCATTAAAGTAATTTTGGGATCATTAATAAGTCGTGCCATAAACTTCAAACAACATTGGCATAAGTGAATTTAAGAGTATGTACGCAGGTGTTCCCTAGAGTAAAAAACATGAAATAGCAAACAGAATTGATCAACAGAACTGATCAACTGTACCAGCTACGGATATACTATATAGTAATTAAAATTATTTAGAATCAGCACAGGTAAATCTCCAAAATAACGCTGACCAAAAATCACTAAGTCACAAAATGCCACATATGGTATACTATCTGATAGAGTTTTAAAACATATGGGAAAAAATACTATTTTAATGTGTTGGGGATACCAACATAGGAACAGAGTCTGACTATGTCACCCTCTGTAGAGTGGGTAGAGTAAGTATCACAGCTCACAGCAAGCTCAAACTCTTAGGCTTCAGCAATTCTCTTGCCTCAGCTTCCCAGTAGCTGGGACTACAGGCATCTGCCACAACACCTGGCTATTTTGTTGTTTTTGTTGTCATCATTGTTGTTTACCAGACTTGGGCTGGGTTCGAACCCACCAGCCCCTGTGCATTTGGCCAGTGCCCTAACCACTGAGTTCAGGCACTAAGACACAGAAAAGTTGTTTTTTTGTTTGTAGAGACAGAGTCTCACTTTATTACCCTTGGTAGAGTGCCATGGCAGCACAGGTCACAGCAACCTCCAACTCCTGGGCTTAGGTGATTCTCTTGCTTTAGCCTCCCATAGCTGAGACTACAGGTTTGAACTCACCACCCTTGGTATATGGAGCTGGCGCTCTACCCACTGAGCCACAGGCACTGCCCACATAGAAAAGTTTTCATGGAATTAATACCAAAGATAAAAAAAATCCCATATAATTTAAACAAGGAATTGGTATACTATGGCTTTTCCATCTGACAGAATGATGTTCACAATTTAATCATCTCAGTATTGAAGGATAAGGTTACCATTCTAATTTTGCCTTTACCATGGGCACAGGAATTCAATGAAAGTTTGATAATGACAAACCTATAATTACATTTGGTAGCTACAAAATAAAATTTTATCAATACCCTAGGAAGATAAGAAGTAACACAGACAAGAAGTAGTATTCCTACTATTTTGTATGCAAGAAAGATTCAAAATAAAAAGTAATGTTTAATATTGTATCAGAATGGTAAATATGTGTTTTCTACTTCTGGTGTCAATTCTGCTTACCAATTTCCCCTTTTCCACACAGGCGGGAATTGTTTCTTACAGAGTCAGGACTGAGGCTGACATTTGTGTTTGGAAGATCTTCATAGTGACGGTGTCATAGCATAGAGCATACTATGATCTTACTGTGGAGTGATAGTAAGATCATCTTACTACATGTTACTTTATTGGTTTTTTCAATATATGTTTGTTTTGGGATATCTGACTTGGCTCATATATATATGTAGTTAATTATTCATATTAAAAAGTGCCTTGTGCTTTGCTAAATAGTTTCTTGTGCACTTCCTCGCTTTGTTTAAATACAATAAAAACTATGATATTACAGAATCTTACTGTATTGATATTTGCCTTGCAGCATAAATAGAAAATGGAAGGACAAGTACCTTCTCCAAGCAGAAGCTCCTGCCACTGATCTCTGCCATTAGAGGTTCCAAACTGGACACTCAAGAGCCAAGAGTGTTCTCTACAATCTTAATAACTTTCAAGAGTTTTCTCTATACTCTTAAAAATGACACAGTTGATCAAGACGGTGGTCTTGACAGTCTTAAATAATATGATACACATATTCATTCCTAATCCTCCCATACACCCGGTCAAACAACTCATTTCCCAGCACAGCATATAGTAGGCAGTCTGAACATATTGGTGTTGGTAAAGTAATCAGAATTAATAAGTGTATCTGCTACACAATGTATCATATTACTTGGTAATACCTCTGACCTAAATAACGAGTTAAGCTGATTATAGGACATAGATTCATTTGCCTAATTCATTCGACAAATATTGATGTAGTGCTGGCAGTAAGCACTGAACAGAAAGCAAATATGTAAAAGAGAAAACAAAATAACATAGAGCAAAAGAATAGCCAGTTCTTAGGGACGTGTTTCCACGTTATTCCAACCCAATGATAGTCTTTAAGAGCTGGTATTTTGCAGTTAGTCAGGAGCATCTAAATGCTGATAACTGTTTAGAAGTGATCCAGAGGAAAAAGTGGAAAACATATGGAATTTCTTCAGAGAAATCCTAGTGTTACATATTTTTAAATTAAACTGGATAATATAAGGTCAACTTTAAAACTATACTTAAGAAACACAATATGTGAAAAAAAAATTCTTGAACAAAATCTTCCATCTGGGTAATATATTTGATGATGCTTTGTAATCAAAGAAACAGGAAATTAAATAAAACCAATGTCTTTTAGGACACCAGCCATGCAATTTTCAGTATGAGCATGCTAATGAGTTCAAATTGTAATTCCTTACAATTACAATTTGATGGGGTAATGAGAGTCCCCAAGTAAATACTTAGCTGAATTATTAGTTGGTAACATTAAAAGCTTGTTTAGGGTCATCTACAAGTTATAAATAATATAAACATATGTAAATATGAAATAATAAAAAAATCTCAAATGTCACTTGCAAAAAAAAAAGATGTTAGATGTAATTTGGCTCCACTGGAATGAAACATCAAAAATCATGACAAATAACACTAAGATACTTACAAGGCTGCAAATGAAAGTGGAACATTGATAAAGTAGAATGGACAAACTAAAAACTAAAAGCACAACAGAAACCAGAGTACAACCTCAAAGGAAAAGGTACTGCCATATGTCTATAAGAAAGAGCAAATGGACTAAAAGAAACACAGTTGTTATTTTAATTTTTATTTAATTATTGGCTTGTAAAAAGGTTTGCAAATTTCACCAGGCAAGATGAGTCAGATCTTCTGTCCAAAGCAAAGCTGTCTTCGGTGTGAAGAAATTACTGAGCTCTCAGCCTTGGTGTTTTCTGCTACACACAAGCAAGCAGCACACTCAAATAAGCCCAGTAGTCAACATAAACTATAGAAATATTTTTGTTAGATTAACTAACATGGGTCAGGACTTGGAGCTCCTTTGTAAATTCATTTGAAATTTAGGTCCTTATAGACCTAATCCAACTTTTTAAAAACAATTTCAACATGCCCAATCCTAACTGTGAAAGCTCTTTGCCCCACAACATAAATATTCATTCAACACGGTAGCCCCTCTTGGCCTTGGCTCATTTCCTTGAGATTCAGTTTGTTCAGTATTACATACATTCAGCATAATATAAAACATATTAAAATGTAGTCACAGTTCACGATTTATTCACACACTATCATCTACTTGTACTTGCTGTCTCAAAATATCTTCCACGGAGAGACTTCCAGGATAGATAGTGGCTCAGACATAATAAATATTAGCTCAGGTTAGATTAGCAATGCTGAAGACATAAAAGACACATATTCCAATGTCAGATTAATGCTGAAAAAACTATTATGGCTTAAATTTCCTGGAAACCTTGGTCCTGTTAGGACAGGATCACCTTGTGAACTGAACTTATGTTCTCTAGGGAGGATGAAACCTAGAAGGATGGCCTCAGCCCTCCACTGATGGACATAATGAATATCCCTTTCAGGGAGGCGAGCTGCCTGCTCCTCTGAAGTACCCCATGTGGATTTACCTCTCTTTTCAGTCTCTCACAGGAATCCTAATGGCCCCCTGCAACACTGATAATTCTGTTCCTAGTCTCAAATCTCGCCTTCCTGGACAATTTGTATTTGTAGTAATTTAAATTCAAGTAAACATCAATAGTAGTGGTATCTTAGGGGCATTTTATGTATTTTTTTTTTTTTACGATGGTCTGGGGCTACCAATCTATATTCCCTTTTGTTTTAAATTAATTTTTTTAAAACTTTATTCAAATTAATATGAAGGTACAATATTTAGGTTACATTGTTCTCACTTCCAGGGTAAAGTTCCATTTGTAGAGGAGCCCCTCACCCAGAGAGCATGTTATATATCCTCACGACATGCACATTAGGTGAGATCCTGCCACATGCCCTCCTTCCTTCTGCCATACATCCTCCCCGGCCCATCCCTCTGCCCCTGAAAATATTATAGAATAGTGTTTTATTGTTCTTAGGAACACATCATTTTCTTTTCTTTTCTTTTTTTTTTAGAGACAAGAGTCTCACTATGCAGCCCTCAGTAGAGGCCCGTGATGTCTCAGTTCACAGTAACCTCAAACTCTTGGGCTTAAGCGATTCTCTTGCCTCAGCCTCCCAAGTAGCTAAGACTACAGGTGCCCACCACAACGCCCAGCTATTTTTGTTGTTGTTGTTGTTGTTGTTGTTGCAGTTGTCATTGTTGTTTAGCAGGCCAGACTGGGTTCCAACCTGCCTGCCTTAGTGTATGTGGCTGGCAACCTAACCACTAAGCTATGGGCGCCAAACCCATGTAATTGTTTATATATTGATTTCATATTAGTATGGAGTACATTGGATATTTATTTTTCCATTCTTGCAATACTTTACTAAGAAGAATGTATTTCAACTCCATCCAGGTAAATGTAAAAGATGTAAAGTCTCCATCTTTTTAATGGCTGCATAATATTCCATAGTATACATATACCACAGTTTGTTGATTCATTCATAGGTTGACGGGCACTTGGGTTGCTTCCACAACTCAGCAGTTATAAATTGGGTCTTAGGGGCATTTTATTTTCACTTTAGCCAACTGATAAAACTGAACTAGACTATGAAAATTACCTAAGGGCATAAGCAAATACCATGGATTCCCTACATTTGGGATTTTAGATTTTTTTTTTTTAATGTTTGAACATAAGACTGTTTGTCAAGTAAAGGACCCGAGGGGAAACACACTTTATTTCTAAAATCATCCTCTCCACTGGCCACTTCCTGTAACCCTCCTTTAACCACAGAATGAAATTTGGCACTCTGGGAGGCCAAAGCGGGGAGCAGGGGGCGGGGGTGGAGGTGTGTGGTGGGGGAGAATTGCCTGAGCTCATAGGTTAGAGACCAGCCTGAGCTAGAGTGAGACCCCATCTCTAAAAAAATACCCAGGCATTGTGGTAGGAGCCTGTAGTGCCAGCTACTTGGGAGGCTGAGAGGCAAGAGAATCACCTTAGCCTAAGAGGTTGCTGTGAGTTATGATTCCACAGCACTTTACCAAGGGTGACAATGTGAGACTCTGTCTCCAAAAAATAAAAAAAAGAAATTTGGTTGGGTTTGTCCAGTGCATTCAGAAATCTCTAAGAAAGATAATTTAGTCCATGAGAGCATGACATCATACCTGGTGATTTAAAGTTCCTCTTCTACACAGTTTCAAATAAAGAAAAGCAATGAACACTCCTACAAAAGATCTTCACAGGTCATCCACAGTCAGAGGGACATTAAGAAGCAATTGCAAAGTGCAGTAAATGGGGAGACAATATAATTTTTCCCAGCACAGTATACCGTAGCCATTTGGCTAGTCTTTTTCAAGTTATAGTCCAATCTCTTCATCTGATGTGAGTTAAACAGTAAAACCCTGAATAATTTGAATGCTATTTGGAAAAAAAAATGTTTTTCACCTATGTACTATAAATTAGCAGTCCCCAACCTTTTAGGCACCATGGGTCAGTTTCATGGGGAGGGGGGATGAGGGAAGTGGAGCTCAGGCCAGCGTGATGTAAGCCGTGGGGAGTGAAAATAAATATGAATGAAGATGCCCCACCCCTGCTGGGGTCTGTACAGTCTGTTTCTAAATTTCAAGGAAGATAGCCGGTGCGGGTGGGGGGATGGGGTTTCGGGACCTGATGGTGACATTTATCACTACAGTCATGCTGTGGACCCTCATGAGAGACATATTAGAGCATGATAAAGAATATTTTCTCCCAGAAGATATTTAATTCTAAAACCCAGTTCTCCATCTTGAACATCATCCTCAGACTCAACTGTAACCACGCTGTTTGAAATTGCACTCTACACTTGCACTACCAATCCCCTTTTTCATTTTTTCATAGTATAGTATTTATAATTTTCTAACATAATAATCAGGTATGTTTTTAATCATTCTTCACTAGAATGTAAGCCCCAGAGGGAAGGAATCTTTGTCTTTTTTGCTCATTGATACAACCCAAGCATCAAGGACAGGACTTGTTACAAAATAAATTGTTGAATGAGTGAACAAATTCACGTTGAGTTCAATACAAAATATCTCTGGAGCGAGTTAGAGTCGAATTTCATTTATACAGTTAAGTACCTCCTGAGTTCTGATTATGGAGCAGATACATATGTAATGCCCACACAAATACGTAATACCAGATAGTGATTAAGTGCTACATAGCAAACAAGCAGGATGAGGATGGAGAGCCAGACCAGTGGCCATGTTAGATGGGGTAGTCACCTCTCTGAAAAGATTGTAATTGTTTTTGTCCCTGTGCTGGGCAGATTGGGATGGAAAGGGAAAATGAGCATTGAGCACGTGGTCCACTTGGTGAGCGACAACAGTAACAAAGCCTGCGTGGTGGGAGTAGGATAAGCAACAATGACACGGTCTGTTGCCTTCACTTGCTACTGATACGTATGCACTACCTTAGTGCTGCAGGAAACAGATTACATTTCACCTAGAGTACTCAGTTTCTCCCAGGCTAAGTAGCTCTTCTATTCCAGCTCCCAGGCACCTGCACCAGCTCTTCAGATTGCAAGGGACGCGGTAAAGACAGTCAGATACTCTCCGTAGTAGCCCCCTGGAGACCAAAAAACCGACTTAACTGAGAACCACTGTCCAGTAAGGTGTAAAGTCACGCAGAACTCAGCACTAGAAAGGTGGACAGCCTGGCGGCTCAATAAACATTAACAGAGACTGTTATTTTCCAGTCTGGGGGGTTGGGTGGAGGAAGAGCAACGTCTCAAAGCACTGTTTTGTGAACACAAACACTTTTATTCAGCTCAGACGAAGATTAAGTTGCCAAGCGCGGTACAGGAACTCCACCGCATGAGTTGTGTTAAGAATCCTGGACTCAAACTGTTGCAACATTTTACGTAATTTTGCAAAGAACAAAAGCATAAAGTTCATTCTGAACTCTCCTTCCAACTCAAATTCTTTTTCAACCAAGGCCGCGCACTTGGAAAGTTTTCAATGTCTGAAACCCTCTATTTCCGGGCCTAAACGGTATCTTCCGGCTTAAGATGCAGGGCGATTTCTCCCGTCGCCTCCACTGCAGTTCTAAAACAGCTTCGCCAGCCAAGTCAAACTTTCCGTGCTATCTAGCCCTCGACACCAGGACCAATGTCGCAAGCATATACGGTCCCTGAGTCAATGAACTGGTTCTGGGAGCCGGAGCAGGGGAACTAGATTTACTGGACCGGAGGCAAAGAGAGAGATCACAGAAATGAAAACCGCAGCAGAGGGTGGGACCGGAGCGCTCTCTCCTTCAGCCCTGGACCCAGAAGCTGGGAAAAAAGAAGCCTCCCAGCAGGACGAGACCCCGCGAACCGACCCAAGCATGCGCAGCGCAGCCTCAGCCCGGGCCTGGGCTGGGTGTAGCCCCAGAACAGAGGGCCCGGCCCCCGCCCGCAGGCTTGCGCATGCGCGGCGACGCCCAGGCCGGTGGCACGGGCGCAGCTGGGGGCCCTGGGGCCCAACAGCGGTCACGGCGGCCTAGAGCTCAGGCGGCGGGGGCGGGGCGAGCAGCCCGCCGCGGGGGTACCTGACGGCTGCAGCTTCACGTCCCCGCCCTTCCTCGGCCTCCCACACCACCCCTCCGACCTCTTACCTCAGCGCCGGCCGGAGCCGCGTCCGCTCCGCCTCCTGGGTCGCAGTTACTGCTCAGTCCGAGCCCCGGCGCCGCGCCGAGTTGGCGCCTCCCCCTGAAGCGCCGGGGCCCCGGCGGGATGCGCTCCGGTGCCCGGCCCGGAGGGGAAGGAAGGAGAGGGCAGGCGAGAGGAGGGGATTGGCGACAGCGCCTCGCCCCTCCTCTCCTTCCTCAGCTGCCCACTGCCGCCCCCGCCCCTTTCTCGCCGACTCTCCCTCCCCTCAGAGCAGACCCCTGCGACTGTCACCGCGGGGTCCACCTCCGCCTGGGAATTCCCTTGTGGGACACGCTCACCGTCTCCGGGCTTCTGGTCCCCCAACCGCTGTGAATTTGTAGCTGCCTAACCTAGAGGGGTGAGGCGCGGATGATGCTGTGGGCAACCTCTTCCGTAGCCTGTCCCGGCTTTTCTTCTAGTGGTGGCCTGTCCATCTGGGAGCTCAGGTCACTGCACACTGTTTCCCCCCTGCTTTAGCTGCACTGCTGTGGGGCTCAAGTCCTGTGCCCGTCTGTAGTGTAAATGTTTAGATAAAGAGGGCTGTGCGCTGGGGGTGGGAGGTGACCTGAGTTACCTTGGGACCAAGGTCTCTGGAACCGCCGCACTCTCCCCTTACTAATTTGCAGCAATTTCTAATGTTAATACTGCATTTCTATTGGGCTTAGTAGATTTTAGTGAAATGCACCACAGCTTTACAGTGTGCAGTAGTTTCTTCCGCTGTACTATACTTACACTGACCTGAGTGGGTTTGGGTGAAATACTCAACAGTTCTGTTATTAGCGTCTCCTATCAAGTAAGCTGGTTGTTTTTATACCTGCTTTTAGATGAGGATACTGGTTCAACATATAATGCCTTGCCAAAAGTAGTACGGCTGGTAGAATAACTGAGATTCCAACCTAGAGTGACCATGTCAGTCTTGTGTCCGGCTTTTGTCGTTCCACCTTCCAGAATGTCTGCTACCTTTATTGCAGCTGCTGCATTTGGCAGACAGTTATGTCAATTACCAGGGCATAGTTCACTGAGCCTCAGGAGGAGGCTTGCTACATAGAATTATAGGTATTTGTCTTACAGAACTCTAATTGGAAGAACATTTTTTTTAACCTTTTACTTTGAAATAATTATAGATTCACAGGAAGTTGCAGATGTAGTACGGAGAGACCTCGTGCTCCTGTCCTTAGTTCCCCCATTGGGAACATTTATAAGATAAAATTTATGAGTTACATGTTTGCTCTCAAAAAAAAAGCACACTTTAATAGAGATAGCTGGCATATTTTGAGCACCTATTGTTTCCCAGGTGTTTTAAATATATTGTCTTTTTTGGATTACAACAATCCTTTAAGATTAGGGTTATCCTTATTTTACATAAGGCAACCCAGGCTTTAAGAAATTAAGTTTCTTCCATCAGCAACCATGGCAAAAGCCACCTGCCTTGTACATGTCATCTTTTCCACATTAGGGACAGCTGAAGTTCATGCATTCCTTATGCTATGCCTCTGCTGAATTCTGACAATTATCTAACCGTAGAAACATTTTATAGATTATTAGGGTTTTGAAAAGTGTGATATTTGCTCAGAAGGTGAAATTTTTTTTATCTACATAGAATGTGTTCCATTGAATAATTTTATTTGGGACCGATATTTTTTCCCCAAGAAGGTCAAAATTAAAAATAACAAGGGAAGATGTCTAGGTCACATCCAAGCTCCCTTCAAAAGTTTTGGATAATTTAGTATGTTAAGTTCACTCTATTGCTGCATTCATTCACTACAAAATTGGACTCTTAGAGCATATAGATCAGTATTTCAGGGCTGACAGTTCCCATCACCAATCTACCAAGTTTGCCTACATCTGGACCTGTGCATGCCTGTTCCTTCTTGCTACAAGTGGTCATCTCTTTTACTTGTATTATATTCTGTTTTCCCTATGAAAGTGCACTGGAGCTTTAAACAGCTGGTTCTTGGGTGATCAGACAAAGAATTGAAAGACACACCACTAATACACACTGAACCACACAAACAGACTAGGACTGGTGAAAAAAGAGCCAGAAACAAGAAAAAAACCTGTTTGCCACCCTCACAGGCAATCCTCGTTCCTTCCAGGGAGACACTTAAAGCCACGCTAGGGAGTACCCTGGCCAGAGGTTTTCAGCTAATACACCCTTTCTGAGTGGACGGAACAACCAGGATGAAATAAAGAGTACACACCACATTAAAGTAAGTATTCAGAGTTTATTGATAGACATAAAAAAGTTCAAAGTGAGACTCTGTCTCTTAAAAAAAAGAAAAATAATAAAAAAATAAAAAATAAAAAAATTTTAAAAAGCTCTACAAAAGTTAAGACAAGGCTCAATCCACCTAAATGACTCGAGATAGTTATCTTCAGGATGGGAGCTAAAGTTACAAACCAGTAAGAATGGGAGACAGTGAAAGTCGGGCAGGACTTAAACCAAGCAGACCAGCTGTGTCTAATGGAAGATGGGGATTGAGAGTTTAAGGACTGAAAAATGAGAGGTTATCCTGAGACATGAATGAAAGGAAGCAGAGTCCAGGTCCTGCCTGGGCAACGTGGACTTTATTCACTTGGGTGTGAGCAGGCCGAGTTCAAAAAAGAAAAGTCAGCACATGGGTTAAGGCAGGGTGGGAGTATAAGAGTTGGGGGTGGGAAGGGATCAGCGCACTCCTTCCTTCCTGGGCAGGATGTTCTTTCCTGAGCTGGACAGTTCTATTTGGGTGGGTCCCTATCAGAGGTGAAGGTCAGGCAGGACTTGACCAATCAGACCAGCTATGTCATGTCCACCTTAGCCTGCCTGACTCCATCTTATTCTCACTACATGTGCTTTCCCAGGCACCCCTCTGCTCTGTTATTCTGTCTGCCTTTGAATAAGTTCATTACTATGTTGATCATCTCTGGCCTTATACTTTGGTCAATTTAAACTACTTCCCTCAGGGTTGCTCTCTGCTTACTGAGTTCCCTCTGAATGATAGGCAGAGGCTGCTCTTTGATTTTCAGAGACCCCTTCACTTACATTCTCAAGATTTTCACTCCAGCAGTTGTCACCTCTCAATCCTATATTATTAATTTTCATCTCCATGCTGGATAACAAAGCATAAGCATATATTCACATTATGCAACCCTTCTCTATCTTTTAACATTTCACTGACAACACATCCCCCAGCAGCTACCACCCTATTTGTTGCTCTCTTCCAAAACTCTTAAAAAGAGTCGTTTATATGTATTGTAGCCTCATCACCTCCACATATTTGTTCTTGAATCTGCTTTAATCAGGCTTTGGCCCCTCCCCTCCCACTGAAACGCCTATTGACAAAGTCATCGGTGACCTCCAAATTGCTAAATCAGTGGTTACTTATCAGTTACCGTATTCAAACTATCAACTAAAGTTGTTCCCTGCTGCCATTTTGAAGCATTCACCCAGTTCCCATGGCCTTCAGGTGGCCCCCTCTCTCAGTTTGTCCCCCTCACTGGCAGCTTCATTAACTCAACCCAGAGTTCTTGGAGTTCTCTATCTCCTCATTCCCTTGACAGTTTTATTCCAAGACATGGTTTCCTGCTTTTCTCTTTTCATATAGCCAGGCACCAAGACCCCAATCACAAGAAAGAAAAGGGAGTGGGACCAAAAATGAGAGGTTATCCTGGGACATGAAGAAAAGGGGATGGAAGTTGTCTTTTGTCTTTTTCTGGGGAACTCAGAAAGTCTCGATAACCTCTAGGAAAGAGGAAAATGCTCTTTCTTTCTTGTTGAGTCTCCAGCAGCAAACATAAGCACCAGTGAATGTCCACATTGGCACCCTTGTTACAGATTGAAGGAATAAATGAGTAGGAAGCCTGCACTTGGGGCCCTATGCACCATTGATTAAGTGAATGACTTTGGGAAGCCCCTTAGTTTCCAAGCACTTAAGTTTGTTGAGGCTTTATGGAATTGGTGAATTGTATTACATGTCTTAGTTTTTTTTCCTAGGGTTAAAAGAATATATTTTATATATTGCAATTAAATTACCTGATCATACTCTAAGAAAGCTAACTGACCAGGAGCTGAAGGTTGAAAAAGACTGGTTTGGAGCAGAAAGTCTGACTGAGGGGTGGAGTTTCATATGTGCTGAAAGCCCACTAAATACATTCCCAGGTCAGAAGAGAAGTGATAGCGCCTCTACCAAATACACATTTTCTTTTATGCTTCTAATTTTTTTTGTCTCGACTTAATCATTTATAACTTCTTTTCAAGTTTTATTTTATATAATGTCACGGTACTATAACCTGTATTTCTGCAGAATGAAGAAAAGATCTTTCTACCTCAGCATCAAAGGCAATCTTGTGGGCATGTTAGCCCTCCTTAAATCTCAGGGGGGATGGGAGAATGGGGTACTCCTCGTAAGATTCTGCAGATACCACGCAGCATCCCCTTCCTCTGCTGCTCTTGCTGAGCACAGGGGACTCCTATGGGGTCCCCACTACTTCTAGTTGTGTGGGAGAATGTGCGGGCCAGGTTGCTGTGGATATGGAAGGTACAAAAACAAGACTGCCCAGCTCTGTGTTTTACACAATTGTCAGTCACACTGGCTGCCCCTTTACTGGTATGTGCTACATGGCATTGTGCATCCCAGCATAGTGTTAGTGGCAATAATGAAAGAATGACAGAATACCAGAAGGTAGTCAAAGAAGGCTTCCCCCCAAAAGAGAACTTTAGCATTCAGCTTTCAGTATGTACGTGAGGTAGATAAGAGAACAAAGGTGTTAGAGATAGGTTGCTAGAGAAGGGAAGTATTCCAGGTAGAAAAAGAAGAGGTGGTGTGATGTGTTTGAGAATTATAAGTTGCTTAGCAAGGCTAGAACAAAGGTTATATGGAGGGCATAAGGCAATGGCAGATTAAAGTAACCATTTATCCATTGATTGATTCTGTATCTTGGCTGTTGTGAATAGTGCTGCAGTGAACATGGCAGTGCATCTCTCTGCCACACTAATTTCATTTCCTTTGGATATACATCCCTGGGAGTAAGATTGCAGGGTCCTATGACAGTTCTATGTTTAATTTTTTTGAGGAACTTCCAAATGGCTTTCCATAATGGCTGTACTAATTTAATTCCCACCAGCAGGATACAAATGTTTCCTTTTCTCTGCATTTTCCCCAGTACTTGTAACCTTTTTTTTTTTTTTTTTGATAATTGCCATTATAACAGATGTGAGGTGATATCTTGCTGTGGTTTTAATTTGAATTTCCTTGATAATTAGTGAAAATTGAGCATTTTTTCATATACCCTTTGGCCATTTGTATCTCTTATTTAAGAACGATCTATTTGCATTCTTTACTCATTTTTTTCTAATCACTGCAATGGGATATTGCAGTGGGAAGAGAGAGTAGATTCACCTCTTCCTTTGCCCATTTTTTTTACCTGGACAGTTTCCTTGCTATTGAGTTGTCTGAATTCCTTACACATTTCGGATATTAACCCCTTATATGTATGGT